CCATGACCACTGTAGCGCTGTAGCGTCTGCTGCAGAGGGCCGCATGCAGTTGGGCCTAGCGCTGTGCGTCTCCGGCACAGGGTGGTCTGGTGGGCTAGCCGCCGCACCGCACACCAGCTGACATGAGGGTGTGGTCAGAAGGCCCAGCAAATGCAGTGGCGAAAAAAAGCCACCCGCAACACAGCAGGGCATGGCCACAGCACACAACAGGGATTGAGGGGCAATGGATCAATACTATCCATATCGAATTGATGAATTGACGCTGCTACTCTACTATACGGCCTCTCGCAGCTATGCTATGGGCCTCTCCTCCGCAGGGCCTCTCCGCACTTATTGAGTGTTTTGGAATAGTCGGTTGCGGCCAGCTTGGCGCTATCTCGACCTATCGCCCAAGGCACGGCACTAAGGCATCGCAACACCAAGCTACCAGCTGCTTATCGAAAGTTACGGCCCCTCGACGGTGCTAATTGAATTGATATTAATAGCTGGAGCCCTGCGCATGTAGCCTTGGCTCCCCCGTCCAAGCTAAGCAATGGGACAGTTTGACGTGCTCTCGTCAGACTCAGCAACGCGTCCGTCCCTCAAGCTGCCACATAAGACAATGGAAGACACAAAGACGCGCACCCTCCCGAGTCCCGCGGCAGTGCGAGGAGGAGGGTGACGGCTCTGCTGGCAAACGGGACGGCAGCTTGATTCACGAATTGATTAACTGACGAGTCTAGTTCGTTCGATTATCCATCAGCCAGAGGCAACCAGAGGCAGCCCTGCCCGACCAACGCCAACCGTGCTGCCCACCCCTGGAAGAAGAAGCTGCCATGGCCCGCCAACCGCCTTGTTTGCTTCGTTCCTTTGGCTCGTTTCTCCGCCCCGAAACCCAAGGAATCGGAGCCGGGGTTATTGCTAGATGGTGTGAGGTGAGGGGAAGCTCGGAGCTGCCTGCATCTAGAGCTGTGGGCATGGGGCTGGAGCTGCCATTGCTCAAGCTCGTCAGTCTGTGGCATATGCACCTCACTCCCCAACTGCTGCTGCGTACTACTCATACGCCAGAATATTAAAGTTATTTGGGGTATGCTGCTCATGCTCATACTCATGCTCATACAGACAAGGTACTCTAGGTACCCAAGCTAAAAAGACGTAGGGCGAGGTGGATGTGTTTTGTCCTTGTCTCGTTCGAGATCCCGTTGTGGGTGGCCAACAAACACAACAAGGACCACTCGGAGCTGCAGCTCGCTTGCCGTCAGTCAAACGGGATAGGCTTCAAGTGATGCCAGCGCAAAGTTGCAGCATTTGCTATCCATGTGGTGTTACCCTCTCGCTTCGTCCACGTAGGAGCAACCTGCTCCAGATGCCCATCAGACAAGTCGGCTGGCCGCCGTTGGGCAACATTTGGGTTTGGGTTTGAAGCGGTGACGAGGAGCTCTGGGAAAAGACACAAGAAACAGGGAAAAGTCCGCGCGGCCGCTTTGCCTATCTACCTATACTCGTCCTTATGCGTATGTGCCTTGAGCTTCTGCCGCCAGCCGAGCCGGTTTAATTGCGCATTCCTGCAGCCGCCGTTGCGGCGATTATCACTGCATGCTGTGACAATTAAGCGATGCCCTTGATTAGACATGGATGCCGCGCCAATTGGGCAAGCTGCTGCAAAGGCAAGGCACTTGTATCCTGGACACACACATCTAGCCGACGAGTGACGATTCTGCCTTTAATCAGGCGCTGCTACTGTACGCCTCTCAAATGGCCGACATGGCCTTGCCAACAACACCCCAAGAATAACTGGGAATAACTGGGGAAATCGGCAATATCAAAAACGGGCACGAGTGCTACTCCCAACGGCCGCATGCGCTGCATTCGTGGCATCTCTCTGCACTGTTCATCTTGCGCTCCGTCAAGCTGTGATCTGTACCGTAGCCTCCTGTAACAAGTCATGGTTAGGCAAGGCGACGCTCAGATGGGCCGTGTTTCAAGCGAATGCAGCACGCCCCCAGGCGCTTTGAATCGGGATCTAATCGGAACAAGCCCCGCGATCCGCATGCTTGTCATACGAGCCTCAGCAAGGGAGCGTGAAACGTGGCGGCGGCGGCGGCGGTTGGCAACGGATCGCAGGTTTCGATGCCCGTGCTTCCAGTGCCAAGCATCTATACGATGATGCCGCTGGTTGCACGTTATGAGCCATTCTCGTACGTCCCTATAACAAGTTGTAAGGCTCCGTACTCGTACGAGCAACGCCCGAGGCGCTGCATACCTGCCTGTATTCGTATATACTCGTACATGTAGTTAGATTAAGAGGATCAAAGAGGGTGTGGCGGCGGCAGCTGTCGTGGTGGTTTGCAAGGAGGTGGTGACAGCTAAGAGGCGCTCTGTTTGGCCGCCTTCAGTGCGCCTCGTTCCCTCAAATTCGGAGCTGCGGTCAGAGCTGTGTGTGTGTGACGCCGATTTCCAGCTTTTTACGAGGCACCAGTGAGGTAAGCTGCCTCCCGGAACCGCTAGGCAAATCAAATCGCAGAGTATTGCTAGTGCGTGCCTCATCAGTCAATTGTTACTCATTGATGTGAGCAGTAAGATATTACTGCCTGTATTCTCGATTGCCCAGCTTCCAGCATCTGGCGGCCATTGGCCAGGACATGAATCCTTTGTACGTGTCGGCCTTGCGCCCGCCGCATGTCTACCTCGCATGTATGTAGCTCCTCATACCTGTCCCAGTACGAGTTACATGCGGTTTTCCAATGCAGCACACACTTACATGGACTTACATGTGAATTGCGCCGCCCACCATGCGCGGCAGGCCTAGCTGCTGCTCGTCGATAGTATGTGCAGATGCATAGAGTCGTCGAGACCTTGGGACAGTTCATGTACCGGCCTGCAAAATCCATGCCATTGAATGCGAGTGTGCCGCGTGCGTGTGCATCTTGTACGCCTCGCTGCCTTAATGGACCCTTTATTGCCCAGTCTCCGGCCGAGAACCCCGAGCCCAACACTGTCGGGAAGTTGGAGGGGAACACGATATTGCCTCTTGTTGGAATGACTTCCTCTCGCAAGGGAAAAGCGAGGCGGGTATTTCAGTCCCAGCCGATTGGACAGACCCTGTTCCCAGGCCGCTGTCGATGCAGTGCCCCTAGCCCTTCGAGCTCGGCATTGGCAGAAACAAATGGACCCATGCTTGTGCATCAAGCTGTTGGTTCGATGGTACTTCGTAATCGGTAGTGTACAGGAAGAAAAAATATGTCAACACCACACAAAGATGCTTGATCTCAACATCTGCCGTAAGAGGGGGTGCAGAGAAGAGCAATCCACCTTTATGACCGAGGGTACTCCGCCAAAGAAGCATACACAGTCTCCCTACCACTTTCCTTCTCTTTCCGCCTGTCCGTATCTCTCGAATTCCAGCTGTACCATTGCTCGAACGGGTACTTGGACACCCAAGAGTCTGCATCTGCACGTGTGGGGTATCCAACAAGGGGTGGCAAGGGTGCAGGAGACGCTCTGCGGCCTGACATTCAAGATCCAGTAGCACCGCGCCGCTCGTATATGTGTACCGCCCAGCCGGAGGTGTGTGCTGGGACGTGCCGTCTTTGCTCCCACCCACAGGCGGCCATAGCTTGCAGACGCCGTAATACTCGTACTTGGACGGCCAGTAGCACTGCTCAGCACCGCTCCATACGGGTACGATTCCTCCATTCTTGATTGTGAGCGGTCCACGTACGAGCTCGAATGGGCTCCGGCCAAGACTCGAACAGGCTACTAGGCCCTACAGTAGTCGGCTCCTCCTACCTACTGCAGGTCCCCAGCTTCCGGGTCGCACGATTGAGAGAAGAGAGAACAGGCTAATGGCCTTCCTGTGACTAGCCCGAAGGAGCCATGATGCTTGTTTGGCTTAGTGTTTGTTATTAAAGTCAATCGGGGCATGCTTGTTGCTCGAGGACTTGTTGGAGATTGTTTGTGCCAACAGGCACGGAAGGGTAATGGTAGGGCTGCTGTGGAGCTTGGTCCATATCCGGGCCTCTGCTTCTCCTTTGTCTCCGTCCGCCTGGAAAGCAACAAAGAAGTGAGCTGTCGCTTTTGCCGACCAACGAATCATGCTAGCAGCCATGTTAGCACTGCTTGCTGCTCGGTGACGGTATGCGCGTACCCATCCAATTCCTCCCCGGGCGGGGACCGCGCCTGTTGGCCAAGGGTTGAAGGGTGAGCTGGCTCCAGCTCGAGCATCTAGAAGCATTCGTGACGAGAACAAGACGTCAGTCGGAAATGCGCGAGCTCCAGCCTGCGCTCAAAATGTAACAACCTAACTTATTCACCGCCTGCTACCTGCATTGCTGTGGTGGTGCCCCGTAATGCATACCAATGCAAGACCATATGCAATTCGCGGTGTGGCAGTCCAAAGCGCGAGCAGCAGCCGCCGTCTTATTGCTCAGCGTCGACGGAGGAGTCCAGAGTCCAAACTCACGCAGGAGAGCCCAACACGTATGTAAAACCAGTGACTGGTCCATGCTGCGCTTTGAAGACCAGTCGAATGAGCTGGCCACTCGAACATGGGAGCCACGAGCACTCGTACGTCACTGGCAGGCAGCTCGATGTTGAGAGAGAAGAGAGACCCCAGGGCGTCACACTGGTTGCATCGCCGAATTACCGCGGCAATCTGACATCGGTCCGTCAGTAGCTGGACGAGGATGTTCTCAATCATTTTCCTCCATAATAGATAATAGTCAAGGTATTTGATTGGGCTCAAGGCTTCTTAGAATAGCATCGTTCTTCGTGTAAGAAGGGAGCATATGGCACTTGTCCAATAAGAGCCAACCCGGCGCTAAAACCTTACTGGCCGTTCCAGGAGCTTCTTCTAGCGGCATGAAAGCTCCAACAACTGTAGACAAGACAAACACAATTACGGAGTAGCCTCGATGAAGATCGTCATCGCTCGGCAATACTACCTGGAGCAGCAGTGAAGCCATCGTTGCCCAAAAGGGGGAGGAGAACGGGCTCGGCAGCTAGCACAAACCTAGCGAGAAAGGGAGAGGGAAATGGAAGATAATTGGGATGCAATAGCGGTCGGCGAACGGCGCGTGTCTCGGAGGCCTTGCCAACTCATAGATGGATGCACTCCGGCCGGTGTTAATCGACCTGGCCATTCGGCACTCCCGGTTTCTCCCACAACACAGACAAAAAGCTCACAGGGATGCGGGATTCCATGTTTCCACAAAGTGCTCGAGAATAGGCGATGCCGAAAATGTCCATGGCCTGGAGCTGTGTAACGCGAGCGACGCCCTTCTGATACAAGTCGGACGGAGTAGTACATATATGGGCGTCGAGATGAATCCTGGCCATATGCAAGGCCATGGTTGAGAGAAAAATTTTCTCTCCCAACGCGCAAGGTATAGAAACTAACAGCCTCCAGGTTCCCTAAACTTGCCGTCTACCTACCTCGAGGAGCGCACCTGCAGCTTACCTACTGTACTCTTGAGGACTTGAGCCTCTCGTCGGCCTCGCCATAGACCTGAATGCAACTCCCATCTATCGTTTATCTCCGTTGATGGTTTATTTCAAATGAAGAACTTGCTGCTACAAAACGTGCTTGAAATGCTCCCTGCCTACCTACATACATAGTACTTGACAGATTCCTTCACCGGCCCAGCCCTCGGCATGGTTGACAGCCGTCAGCCATACGAGTACGAAGACGCATCCAATGTCACCTTGTTTTCCGTTGACCAGATAGCTACTCCTAGAAGAGCATTAACTACGCCGGTGCCCGCATTGCGCTCCGAGTACCTGTCACGTACTCCATACCGATCTCCTCTTACCAGGCAAGGGCCGAGGATGGATACGCCTGCCACCTTTATAATCGCACCAAGGACGGAATACTACCGGCAAGTATGGGGAAGGGAGGGTGCATGTTTCTCTTGCCAAAATTAGCGCGCAAGGGCTGCGGTACGGGGGTTCCTTCCTGGTAGCATCCGTCCTAGGAAGCGACCTTGAGGTATCCGCAACCACGAGGGCTTCCTGCCGGTCTCGTCAAGGGACTTGGCGCTCTGTGCCGTATCTGCTACTCTGACATGTACCTCTGGCTGTACTGTACGAGTACTCTGGACTACCTTAACTTCCTGGGCAAAAGATTCCCGGAGCTCTAACTCGGATGCAGCCTCAGGCTAAACTAAACTTCATTACCTCGACACCTCATCCATCCTTTGGGCTCTTGAGAAGCTCTTCCACAAGCTCCCGCGTTCGTCCCACCGCCGTATTCTATGAGCTGTCGGGTCCAGACTTGCTTGGTTCGTGCTAATGGCCAATAGACACCTACGCAATTCGTCCAGCGCAGAGGCTGCTTTCCGCTCATCATGGAATCCTTGCTTCCTCTGCGAGAAGAGAAGCTCGACCGCCGCATAAGTGAGGGTGGGGAAAAGGCCATCTGGACAGCTTCATGTCCAATTGCCCGGTGGACTGCAGCCCCCTCAGCCATTTGTCTGTCTCACCTGTCGATTGCCATTCCATTGACCGGGTTGCGACATGTTTCACTCGCTGTCCCAGCTGCATGAAAAAGCATCCAATTCCATCCCCTGCAAACAACCCCGGTCAGCCGGTCAACCTAACCTTGCAGGAGCCATGGCCGCCTCTCCCCTCCCTGCCTCCATACGCTGAGCATCAAATGCCACCTGTTGTCGTCACCGCTGTTCAACGAAAACTTTGGGGACCGTCCAGCTCGCCAGGCACAAGCACATAGCATGGGCTGAGTTGCATATCATGCTATGGCCCTGTGTCATCATCGGGTTCCAGCTACTGCTCCGGAGCAGTGGAGCAGGTAATTGGCAAAATGATTATATTCACAACAATGCTATACTACTATCAGGGTCGTGTTCAGTGAGCTTCAGCCACAGCATCAACGTAGCCGGCGTTGTGTGTCTGGATTTCGGCCTGGGAAAAGCAGTGTTTCGCTGAACCTTGATACCGACGGTCACGCCATGACCTGTGAGGGATAGCGACCGAAGCAGAGAAACCCGGCTGGTGAGATGTCCTAGTGCCTGTCTTGACATGCGTCGGGCATAGCTGCAGCCGGTCAGCCCGGTTTTTCAAAGGCCTCGTCTTTGCTAAACGGCTCAGAGAGCGACCGCCTCTCCCCCAGCAATCTCGCAGAAGCTACTAAGCACAGCTGCACATCTCAAGATGATCATTCTAGACAGGCCTGTCTCTTACACACATTGCATCTACTCCATCGCTTCGTCATTGCTCATGGTGTGTATAAGCAACCACCTGGCCTACATCAAATCATCTCGGCCATATACGAGTATGCACTCTCTCCGTCTCTCAGAATCTTATTATCCAGCTCCCTTTCCTCCGAAAATACACACACAACAATGACAAGCCCACTATTGTTTGTACAACAAATCCCACTACTGAGTAGCTGCCTGCTCATGTTGCATATTGTGGGTCATGGGATTTAACCTTGCCAGGCATTTGAGCCTTGGAACCCGATCATGTTGGAAGTTGCAAAAGCGTACTGCTTGCCCCAGTCTCAATTTCTTTTTTTATCTTTGTTCAAGCCACTGAGACGGGGGCTTTCTTCTTCTCTCGGCTTCTACACTCGGATACATGGCATTATTATCCAAATGACAGTTCACAAATGCAGTCCAGCTCGCAAGCCACCATGTCTTCCAATTACGGGTGAGAGTCAGCGGGATCAGCCATCAAGGACAGAGCACGTCATACATCCCAAAACCATCTGCTACACCGAGTTATTCTCTCGACGGGATCTCTTTTCCTGCCTTTAAGTAGTTAATTGTCTTGGCATTGCTCCCCCGCAGCTTGGTGTGTAGTACCAGGCCTTCGGATCGTCGCCCCCTGGTCTTCCGATATGGTCAAGCTTTTTGTGATACAACGGCTGAACTCTCTCAACCCAAGACGAAGACTATATCGGTTTATACTCGTCGTTGAATTTGCAAAATCACATGGCTCAGTGGTTGATTTGGATACCGGCATGGTTATACTTCCCGCGTCCATCATGTGGTTAGGCGTGTTGGCACGAAATTTCATCGAGGCCCATTTGTGGAACATATTTCCTTTTTTTCAATCACACACACACATCTCCTCAACAAAGTTCAGGATGCTAGCAGTTGGGCACTCACCAACGTCGAATGCCATTTTTTGCTCCCTCTTTTGCATCCAAAAGTTATCTCGGGCTCCCTGAGTATTCCCATTCATACACTGACACCTCTCCACCCACAATTCGAAATGGTGTGGGAAAGCACAGTTCTCGCCCACACACGACATGATACCGGTATCAAACCAAGTCACGCGTATACGGTATATTTTTCAGCGGCTTTGGGGCGTACAAGTACATTAGCTCTGATTTGTCCATTTGCAACCCTCGCGATGGGAAGCAACTCTGATTGGCCGCTTTTGACGAATCAATGAGGCTATTCTCCTCCCTTCTCCCAAGGGAACAAGAGGGCTTTGCTTTTTGCAGGTCTAGAACGGGTATAGACATCGCGGCATTGATTCCCCGAGATCAGTCGAGTCCTGCAGAGAGATAACTTTTCTGCTGCAGCTAAGCTCGCCGGCGCGACGCAAGGCGCAACCCAGATTGTGACAAGCTGAGACAGTGAAAACCGGCCGTCTGTACTCCGTACTCTATACTCCGTAGGGGGGCATATTGGTATGTTTCCCGCCTAGGCAAGTAGCTATACAAATATGTCTCACTTTCTCTCCGGTCTGGCGGCACGGGTGCAAGGGAAAGACCGTTATTCATGTTCGTGCAACATTCTCCGCTCTCTGAATCGAATTGGTACTACTACTGGATAGGAAAACCCGCCATTGGCCAGCGATACGCAAACCTGGCTTTTCCGAACCAACCTCCGGCCATGGCGGGCCGGTACTTGTGCTTGCCTGCTATTGGGATTGGTAGTCTGACAAGGTACACAGCGAAAGGGCCAACCCCAACCCAGACTCTTACCGCCTCGCAACGAGCTAGAAGTGGCTGGTGTCTTTGCTACTAATTGCTTGCTACCATTGCACTGGTGATAAACTAACAATGAACAAGCAGTAAAATGACTTGAGAACCACAAGGTAATGGTGCTCTTGCGAAGGACCAGTACACGCCGAATCAAGTTTAAAGATACCGATCTCGTCTTGATTATCAAGCATCACAGTAAATGCCATGAGACAACGTCAATGTCGGTATCTGGTTCCATTGCTCTGCCATAATAGAGACATATGAGCCTCAAAGTTCGTAGAAGATGTTATCAAAGGTGTTAACCCATATAATTTTGTTGATAAACAACTACAGCCGACGGTGAAGGCCAATTTAGACATGGTAGCAGATACGAGAGAACTGTAGGCCCATCCTCCGACGAAGCAGCCTTTTCCATTCAAGGTATCTCTGGTCGTTGCGAGAGAGTCATCTTCGTAACGCTATAGCGTGTCCTTCTTCAACTAGCACTTCGGACTGGCTAGCGGTGATGCTTCTGAAGCCGGCCATAGGGAGTCCATCTTTAACCTCGTTTCTTTTAGACTAGCATATGAGTTGTGACAGGTGGCTCAATGAATCATTATGTCCAGCCTTTGCATAAGACGCCTAGAAGCAAACTATATGTTGCCTTTGAGATATATTAGAGGCAGAAGTCATCAAGCACGGCAGATGAAAGTTTCGATAACAAACGTCCAGACGGAATCTATGCCAAAGACCCCAAGATATGAAACCCCGGGAGGACACAGTGAAAGGAAGTAATACGATACTTCATTAAATGCGAAGATGCCAAAGGAGATTTGTCCTTTTCCAGTTCGTCTGAGCTGAACTGAAAGCTGCTCAATCTGGGCTTGTCATGAGCCCCATTAGACGAATCTAGATGCCCTTACAAGCATATAAGGACGTTTTCAAAGTCATGGATGACGCAATAGGCATGAGAGAAGTATCAAGAAAGTAAGTAAATTACCAGAGGAGAGGCACTGGTAGTATATATCTCCAAATCATTCAAGGCCTGAATAGATACGCCATCAATCCCGGGAGAACGAGAGTCATGTTACTAGCACCCTCACCGAGATATCACGGCACAGTGAACTGTCTCGTGGCTGGTTTAACGGTCACTTGGTCGTGACTAGAGATCCGTACAAAATACAAGCAACGTAAAGCACCGAATCCAGCCAGCCCTTGCGAGATATTTTTCTCCCACGTGTTCAAAGATAGATAGAAATATCCAAAGCCAACCCCATTTCAAAGAATCTACATACTGATTCGACTCCCCCCCGCCTCCAGCCAACCAGCTCCATCGACCCCATTGACTCGGACTCCACCTCAGCCTTGCGGCTTAACAGCTTATCTAACCCTCCCCGCCACACACCCAGCCACACGATGCCTCTCCAGTACTAAGCAAGAGAGCCTATCACGGACCCAGACGCCTTTGGGCACGCAACCAAAAGCTCCTCCCGCCGGCCGCATCTCCATCCCGTCAGCTTTGCACAGACGCAAACGCACATTGGCAGCCTCAGCCTCGTTTCCGACTTTCTGCTTTCCCAAGGCTCGATTTGCAACCCCCCGCCTTTCCCCCTCGTCCATTGGCCAATTTCTTTTCCTCGCTTTCGCTTTTCTGTTTGGCCTGAGGACGGTTTTGTATGCTGCCGTCTTGCTCCGTCTGGCGCGCTGGAGTGGTGTTGGGACTGTGAAGTGGAAAGCTGCGTCTGTTCCGCCATCGCCCTGGTGAACGAGGTAAGCCATTGCGGTGTCATCTTTGCCTATTGCCTTTTTCTTCCTTTTTGTTTCTTCTTCTTCATGCTACTGTTTTTATTGGCTCATTGATTGGTTTGCTAATGTCTCTTCTGATAACCACAGTTGCCCAAAGCGAGAAGAGAGAACAAACCCCGTTTCTTCTCCAAGTTTCAACACCATCCACCGGCAGCCTCCCGTATCTTGCCTCCATCTACAACTCCAAACAAAAGTCATCCACCTCGAGGATACTCCTTCGGAAGGCTCTACCGCCTCACTCCCTCCAACTAATACCTTTTCACATCACCTTTTGCTCTGCATTGCGCCACCTTAACTTCTTCCTTCTCGACTGAACCGCCACACACCAATCTCAGCCATCATGTCCCAGCGACCATCTACACCCGTCAAGGTGCCGCCCTCGGCAGCAAATTACACCCCCGCGACGCTAGACCCAGACTTGCGATCGCAAATCAACACAATCCTGCTGAAAGACGGCCACGTTACCAAGTCAGTGCCGTCACCACCCTTCTTCTTCTTCTTCTCCCTCCTCCTCGTCCCCCCCGAAAGCAGTTCGCTAACATGCCCCAACCGTGTAGAATCCAAGAAGCCCTCCTCCACGCCCTCAACTCCAACTCCTCCAACTGGCCCACCGCCATCCAGAACCACGCCCTGACCCTCCTCCGCTCCGGCGAAGTCACCACTTTCCCCGCCCTCCTCCGCCGCGTCCTCGACGACGTCCGCGAGGGCCAGCCATCCACATCATCATCATCATCATCCACATCCAGCGCAAACGGCAAGTCGTCCGCGACAACGAACGGCAACGGCGACACCAAGAAGACAAACGGCGCCTCCGAAAAGCTGCCCCTCGCCATCCCCACCTCCGTAATAGAAGAGGCCCTCCGCATCACGAGGGAAAGCCTCGACGCTGTCGTCGAGATCGAGGAGAAGGGCAGCGGCTAGCAGCCTTCTTTACCCCTTTCTCCTCCTTCTTGCATTTTCCCTCCTCCTCTTCCCCCTCCTCCTCCTCAACCTCCATCCTCGACAAAGAAGCGTGTCTCGCCATCATCGGCCGCAAAGACACCTCGCCAAGGCATATTTAAAACAGGGCGCGCACGTTCGGAATAGTTTTTTGTCACTTCACTTTTCTTTCCTTTTTTAACAAATGCTCTTTCTTGCTTTTCTTGCTTGATTATACTGTGATATAGATAAGGGGACGGGTTTGGGGGACATAGTTGCTTTTTCTTCTTCCTTCGCCTTCTTCTTTTTTTCGCACAAGTTGAAGGAGCATGGTACGTTATATACGAAATGAGCTATCAAGGCGCGTATGAGGAAATATGATACCGGCCATGCAACTATATAAGTTTGTTCAGAGCCATACTAGCTTTTACGAAATAATCCAGCTTCCCTGGTCAAACAATCCAGATGCTTCACACTCATCCGATTTGACTTAATACCTGAGAAGCTCCCATCTCTAGCAGGATACTACTTATATACATACAAATAGTTAGCAAACCTCGTAGATTCCCACACAAGATTCAATCACAGAGGCAGTGTCTTTTAATGTTTACCAAATCAATTGCATTCGTCTATCAAGCTAACGTAACCCTAATCTTGTGGTCCTAGATCCCAGTAGTCACCGATCCTCAACTGAATTTCGTGTCCTGGGAATGTCTTGATGGCTTAGTCTGTAACGCCACACCCTGAGCTAATCTCCCCTTCGCTCTTCTGCAACTCTAATCATTCTACCGCCCTCCCGGGTCGAAATAGTGTGCCACCCGATGCCGTGAATTAGACTCCTACCCGACCAACTTCGGGCTGATGGATGCAGATGTAGGAGGAAGCTATTTTTTTATATTTCTTTTTTCCTTTCAAATACAAGGGATCCAGGGTGCTGTTTCTTTATTGCCCATGGCCGCCATACTTTAGTCGTAGAGATCGTCATCGTTGCCGGCATCGCCAAAGGCGTTGCCAGCGTCGCCGCCAGCACCACCCTCAGCTCCGTCAGGGAACTTGAAGTAGGCACCAGGTCCAGCGTTCTTCATCTGCTGGGCAAAGGCCTCATATCTGCGGATCTCGACATCGCTGACGGATCGGCGAGCCATCTGCATGGCCTCCTCGAAGTGGGCCTTGGTCAGCTCAGGAACAGGGTCCTCAGCCTCCTCGTCAACATCCATATTGTCTCCAGCGGCCTCACGAGCCTTTGTACGCTCAATGTCTGCTGTGATGGCCTCCTTGATGGCAATCTTGACGGCGCGCTGGGTGATGAATCCCAGATCGGCACCAGAGAAGCCGTGAGACTTGGCAGCGATGTAGCCGAGGTCAACGTCGGCAGCGACAGGAGTCTTGCGCAGCTGAGCCTTAAGGATACCAAGACGGCCAGGCTCATCAGGAAGAGGCACATAGATGAGCGAGTCCAGACGACCAGGACGGCAGAGAGCAGGGTCGAGCTGCTCGGGTCTGTTGGTAGCACCGATGACGAAAACGTTCTTCTTGGAAGTCATACCGTCCATTTCTATGACATTGGTTAGCACGAATATTCACATATTATTTCTCTAGGGCGCCAGTGGCGGAATACTTACCAGTCAGAAGCTGGTTGACAACTCGGTCAGAGGCACCGCCAGCATCACCCACAGAGCCACCACGAGCCTTGGCAATGGAATCCAACTCATCGAGGAAGACGACGCAAGGAGCAGCCGCTCGGGCCTTGTCGAAGATGTCTCTGATGTTGCTCTCAGATTCACCGAACCACATGCTGAGCAGCTCAGGTCCCTTGACGGAGATGAAGTTGGCAGCACACTCGTTGGCGACAGCCTTGGCCAACATTGTCTTACCGGTACCAGGAGGTCCGTAGAAGAGGACACCTCGGGATGGGGAGAGACCAAACTTGAGGAACTTTTCGGGGTGGTCGACGGGGTACTGGACGCTCTCTCTGAGGTCCTGCTTGACTTCCTCCAGACCACCGATATCCTCCCAGCGGACGTTGGGGACTTCCACAACTGCGACCTCGCGGAGAGCAGAGGGGTTGGACACGCCCAGGGCGAATCGGAAGTTCTCCATGGTGACACCAAGGGAGTCCAAGACTTCGGCATCAATGGTGTCCTCGTCGAGGTCAATGAGATCCATCTTCTCACGAATCTGCTGCATAGCAGCCTCAGAGCAGAGGGCGGCAACATCAGAACCGACGTAACCGTGGGTCTCGGCAGCAATCTGCTCCAGGTCGACGTCATCGGCCAACTTCATGTTCTTGGTGTGGATCTGGAGAATCTCCAGACGGCCAGTTGGGTCGGGGATACCAATGTCCACCTCACGGTCGAAACGACCGAATCGTCGCAGAGCCGGGTCAATGGAGTTGGGTCGGTTGGTGGCGGCCATGACGACAACGTTGGAGCGAGCCTTCATGCCGTCCATGAGGGTAAGGAGCTGAGACACAACACGGCGCTCAACTTCACCGTTGGTCTTGTCTCGCTTGGGGGCGATGGAATCGATTTCATCGATGAAGATGATGGCGGGTGAGTTCTTCTCAGCCTCCTCAAAGGCCTTTCGCAGGTTCGACTCGGATTCACCAGCCATTTTGGACATGATCTCAGGACCATTGATGAGGAAGAAGAAAGCGCCAGTTTCGTTGGCAACGGCACGAGCCATGAGAGTCTTACCGGTACCAGGAGGACCGTAGAGCAAGACACCTCGAGGCGGCTTGATACCAATGGACTTGAAGAGCTGAGGATGGCGGAGAGGAAGCTCAACCATTTCTCGGATCTGGGCCATCTGCTTGCGGCATCCACCGATGTCGTCATAGCCAACCTCGTTCAGGTTGTTCTCCTCCTCGTCTCGCTGGATAGGCTCACCCTCACAGTGAATGACGGTATCCTGAGCCACGATACCATATTCCGGAGGATCCACCTCGACAACCTTGAACTCGACTTGCCTCATGCCACCACGGACGATGAACAGGTCACCCTGCTTGACTGGTCGGTAGGCTTCGCGGAAGTATGGGGCAAGGAAAACATCGAAAAGGGAGCCAGTGAGGCCCTCGACAGTGTCGGCAATGGGGAGCACAGCAATTCGCTTGGCCTAATTGTAACAGTCAGATGTGCTGTTTCGTGAAGGTGGTTGGTATCCAGGGTACTCACATATTTGATATCGGGGCAAGGGGAAATGGTAATCATATCGCCGTGCTTCACTCGGAGGTTGTGACGGACGACTCGGTTGATTCTAGCACTTCCCTCATCAAGCTCCTCGTCGGCAAGAACGATGAGCACTGTCTCCTTTCTCTTCTTGCCTCGTACGAGGACGGTGTCGCCGCGGAAGAGCTGGAGGGTGTCCATGGTAGCCTCGGACAGGGCAATGATGCTGTTGTCATCGTTGACGGCATCGGTAACCCTGGATCTGTGTCAGTATGTAATTTCGAGTGGTTCGTTCGAGATGAGCACCTACATCAGCTGGTTGGGCTTCTTCTTCTTCTTGAGGATGGCAGTGGCGGTGTCATCTTCCTGTGATAAAGTTAGTTTCCCCGCCCTGGATATCTAAGCAAAGCAAGGTGGGCTGAACAAACATGCTTGATCTCCGCGCCGGAGGGGTCGCTGTAAATGAGGTGGTTAGCTGGTTCTACCTTCTCGATAGCTGGGCCAGATCATCTCCAGAGGCTATACATACGTCAAGTTGACCTTCTTCTTGTGCTCTTCAGGCTGAGAAGCCATGGTGTCGGATGACGGCTGTGTTCACGACGATGTGGGGTGAGAACAGGACCAAGGCCGGGGCTCGAGGAAACGAAGAAAGAAAAGAATACGCAGATGCTACCTCCTCAAAGCTGGTCTGAGAAAGAAGGAGGAGAAGGAGAGTTGATTCTTGCACTTGTAATCGGGGAGAGAATGGTATGAAGGAGAGAAGGTTAAAGCTAGAGGTGTCCAGAGAGAGTTCCCATAGATCTGGCACACAAGGCCTAAACGTAGCCACGGGCACCCACACGCCCCCGGAGCAGAGGGGCACGGGCCAATGACAGCGCGCGCTGCCCTGAGCGGAGCGGAATATCGTTGATGCAGGGGGCCCTTGAGCTGCGGTACCGCTGGCGAGGCTGCGCTGTGGCCGCCAACAGTGGAATCTTCTGCCGACTTCCACTGAAAGAGCGCCAGGCAACTGGGGACGCGCAACAGGCTACCAGTGGTATGTACCGGCAGAGTCGCTAATCAGCGCCCACACGCACACAGCAACTCCCTGGCGACCTGCCCACAGCGTACGATGACGAGCTGCAGCCTGGGCAGAGCTGATCGAATAAGCAGCTGGTTGCACGTATTGCCACAGGACTGGAGGCATCTACCAGCTTCTACTATTTGCCCCCTGATAGCGTTGCGATAACCCAATTTGAACGTTTTGATACTGTCAATTAATCTTATTGCCTCGCTGCGACGAGCGTAGAGGAAAGTACACGACTACCTACAGGTACCAAGGTAACCCCGATGTCCGCTGGCGTTGACATGGGTCCTGGTATTGTGATGAAGTCATCCTTAAGTACTATCTATTGACTCGCATACATCTCGTTACTAAGCAGATGCCGAGGCCATCGTAACGTCTCACAGATTTGCACTCTGTACTGTTGTGAAGCGCCCTCGAGTGAATCTTCATTGATCAACTATTTTGCTGTTTAGGAGGAGTAAATTCAGGTATTGACATTGAATATCTACCTAACTGATTTGTTGTAGCTTCCGTGATTCTCCTCGTGGCGCGCGTTCGGCTTCGTTTCCCGCCGCCACTGAACCTTGCCAGCTGTAAGCATGATCCATATGCATCTCTTGTCTAAAGCATCAAACCAGCCTCCTCATAGCATCTCATCAGTGTATCCAATTACACCCAATGAGCAATAACCAGGCATTCAAACTTCGATCACCCTCATCCTATTCCGTTGGCTGGCCTCTTGACTTCCAATTCATTGCCTGTTCTCTACCCTATGTCGCTTACCCTGCAACATTTTGTAAACCCGTGGGGCAACCCTATGTATGAGAAGCCTGCAATCAGAAATGGCGAATATGAGAGGCACCTATGATGCTTTGAGTCCACAGCAAAAACGTAGAGACTATAGATATCATCTGGGCGCTTTAAACATCTCATTCATTCTCAAATGCGTTATTGAGGTAGTTGACAAAAGACTCCCTCAACGAGTCGGCAGCCATATTGGTCACCTTCTCCAACCCAATACCCCCTCTATTCAACCCCATAAAGGCTCTTCGATGCCTCTGCAGCTCCGGCAAGCCAATCTTTCTCGCCGGCAGCTCAACGATAAGCTCTTTCTTGCCACCGCTGAGAGAGACTTTGACCTCGCCGCCGCCATCATCGCCCTGTTGGTCCAGGATTCGCTTCACAATGTCCTGCGTTTCACGATCCAGTATGTACAGGTAATCGCCACTCGCATCGCGCCCTCGGGGCTCCGTAGCCTGATTTGGCCTGATGATTTTGCGGCCGTCTCCCGCAACGGCCTCCCAAAGAGAGTCAAACGTCTTCTTGACCTGCTTGTCATCGTCCTCCCATATTATCGTAAAAAGAGGACTATCCCAGCGAGTCATTGGATTAGGCTCTTCATGTCGAAAGACGAGGTTCTCCCAATTCGCGGGCTCATACGGCTCTGTGGTATCGCTTGTAGCGTCGGCTCCGTGTTGTTCAGCCGCAGCCTGGCTTCGTTTTAGCCTGTCCTCGTTAACCTGCTGCGCGCGGTCTTTGGAGCATCCAATCTGTAATATGCAGCTCGGCGTTCGAACGGCTTTCGCCTCGCAGTGTAGCTGGTACCGCCAGCCTTTGATGTAATTCAGGCCATCGAGGATGACAATATCCTTGTCGCTCAGCACTCTCTTTACGGCGCCGTAAATGGCCGCCCTCGCATCCTTTTCGCTGGCGTTGGCCGATCTTGTATGCACCGGCACCGTGGAGAGGTCGTACACGGATCGCGATATTGAAAGCGAGTCGTCTGATATCAGGTGCAGCCTGTACTTGGTTCCGGCGATACGCTCGGCGAGGTAATCATGCAGTTGCTTCGCCCGTGTCGACTTGCCCGACGTGGGCAGTCCCGTGAGGATGATGAGCTATAGAGAAAACGCATGGCGACCATGTTAAAATGGGAACCCCCTCATTTTTTTTTTACAGAGTGATGGTGACGATGGGCTTGCGTGCGGAATGACGCAGCGAGTAACGTACGTACCGGCATCTTGTTGCCGAGCTCAAGGACTTCTTTGTGATGCTGTCGTTACTGGTTTATGTGGGGGAAGAGGAATTTTGTGTGGCAGTACTTCTTAGTCGGCCTAGTGTAAATTTTTTGGTGGTGAGAAACGACAAGTAACGTCACTCGTCACAGTAGTAAAGGCGTCCATCTCGCCTGTGGATGATCTTCGCACATACATAGCCTCAGCTAATCAAACAGCCTGAGTGGGTAAGAACAAGGAAAAAAAGTCTTTGTTCGGGTACGCCGTCCTGAATGGGCCAAGCTGGACAATATATCAAACAAGAGACTGACGAAACATGACTCCTATTTCTCTCAAGCCTATCTCGCGGCTGCTGCACCGCCTCACGGCCTACTGAAAAGGCCCATTCCATTCGAGCAGGATGCAAATCCTTCTGCCGGAGGTCGGCAGCACGGAGGACGGACCGCCGAAGAACGGGCGCTAACTCATGCCTGGCTAGGGGACTTGGAGAGATCAAGAGAGATGGCGCTATTCCTAATAAGGGAATCAATTCGATCTGGCCAATCAGGCGTGTGTTCCTGGAACATTGAAGCGACGAGGCCTCAAGGCTTATCGATCCTATTTCAGAGATGGCCATTCGAGGAGTGTTGCAATTGCTCGTTTTCAGCCTAACAGGATGCCGGTATCCGTAGCGTTCATGGTTATGGAGAAGCTTACAGGTAAACGCGTAACTGGGATGAAAAAGAAAAAGTTATATAACTTAGGGTTTAGTTGCTTATTTGAGAGTCCGTCTCAGAACATCATCAACCTCACAACACAATTGAATAGAAGACTCAAGAGACACTTTCGTTTGTATTTGAAAATAATACAAGTAATATTGGACATCATATTATTGTATTACTTCTCATCTCGTTTACTTCGATTTACATAACCAACTCATTTCAACTCAACTCCCCCCTTTCCACTTACACAACCAACCATGGGCCGCCCTCTCCAATCATACGATGACATTGCCATCGCCGAACTCGCATTCTATCTCTTCGCCCTAGCAGGAGGCATCTTCCTCTGCCTCAAGCATGGCTTCGCCAAAAACGCCGGCTTCCGAGCCCTCATTATCCTCTCCCTCGCTCGTGTCATCGGCGCCTGTCTGCGCCTGGCGACAATTTCCTCCCCTGACAACATCAATCTCTACATTGGCTGGATGACGCTTGAAGGCATTGGTTTGGCGCCTCTCATTATGCTCGCTCTTGGTCTTCTCACCCGTGTTTTCGAGTCCATCCAGACCAAAGGCCGCACCCTCATCCGACCCCAGCACCAGAAGTTCGTTGAGCTTCTGATGCTCCTCGCAATTATCCTCCTTATTGTCGGTGGCACAGAGTCTGACTTCACCATTGTCGATGGAAAGCCAAAGGTCAAATATTCCACCGTCAGCCACGCTGCCGAGGGCATTCTGGTAGCCATCACGGCTCTCTTGGCCTTTGCCATTGTCCTCGCCATCCTCAACCAGAGCCATGTGGGCGCCGGCGAGCACCGAATCATCTTCACCGTAGCCGTTTGCTTCCCGCTTATTCTCGTGCGCCTCGTATACTCGTGCCTCCTCATCTTCGGTGGCATTACTTCCACTCCTTGGCTCTATCTCGGCATGTCCTCTCTCATGGAGATGATTATTACTCTCCTATCGGAAATCCTTGGGTTCAACCTGGACAAGGTCGTGCCGCAACCAGTCCCCCGAAGTGACGAGGAGATGCAAGCTTTTAGCAGTAAGTCAGAGAACTGCTTTGAAGGGGGTCTGCATTGATGGGGTTTTCAGGATGGATTACTAAGGGCGAACAAAGGTTACAATAGGATCAGCGCGGAACGGCAATGGGATTATTAGAGAAATACCCCTTTGATATTTGACTCGGTATAGCTTGGCATAAAGAGCTTAGATTGTTTCATTCTTTCACAAATAGTATTAGTTTTTTTTAGAATAAACTAGTTTCTGATTTTGATCTATTTGATCTCATCGGTGTTGTTTATTGAAGCTTATCATGGTAGAAATGCATAAAGCCAAGATCCCATGTGGTATATGTATGTATCTAAAACAAAGGTATTTAAAAAGCAAAAGAGGAATCTCCAAGTGTCACTCGAATAGCCAAAACTAGCAACATTGACGCCGTGGTATTGCTTTGCGTCCACTCTACATGACCGCGCAGCAGGCCTTCTCCAGCTTTTGCAGGAGGAGTGGAATAAGGCCATCGGCCGTCTCCTCCTCTGGCTCTTGATGTTGTTGGTGATGCTGTGGAGGTCGGTGCTGGCCACCGTGCTGTTGCTGTCCATGGTGAGGAGGCTGGTATTGATCTTGGTGGCCTCCATACCCGCCGTGTTGTGGCGGGATAGGCTCTCCGCCCTGGAGGTTGATGTATATCCTGCCGGCATTCTCCTCTGTGCTGTACTGGAGGCCCAATTCGCGACACAGCTCTTCCACCTTGGGCTTGAGCTTCTGAACGTGGTGGTTCGACGAGTGGTTGCCCTTGCCGACAATAGCGTGCAAGTGTGTCTGGCCACGGGCCTGATCCGCGCGAATGCGCTGTTCGAGAATGCGCTCCGCCTCTTCGACGAATTGTCCGTGAAGGTCGATGCTGTCGCCGTCGACACGGCCGGGGGCATTGTTCTCGCGGAAGATGTAGTCGGAAGCCTGGCGGTTGTATTCCTTCATCTTGGCATCGTGGGCCTTGCCTTGGTTGGACAATTCCTTTGCTCTGGCACCGTCACCATCTTCGTAGGCGCGTTTAGACTAGGCATGTCAGTCTACAGAAAGTCGTCTCTCGAGTCGGTTCAACGTACACGTTCGTAGCAATCGCCTCGCTTGTCCGCTTCGGCACGAGCAAGAGCGCGTAGATTATCATATTCGCGCTCTACTTCTGGGTTTTCTTCGTGGTGGAGGGCTGCTCGTCTTTGGGTCAGCCAATTGCGCCAGGTCGAGAGGTCATCAAGGGCAAGAAACAACTTACCACGACTGCCCAATTGCGTCATAGGAATCGACATCTTGGTCTCTGGAGAAGCGGACGCCTCGATGATGCTCAATTCTGCGATTTGGGACACGAGCGATGCAGCGTGGATGAAGGGCGCTGTCGACGAGATCAAAACTCGGTGATGTGCAAGTTGGGCGCTTGCGGTCAAGCAGCTTTTGGCCGATTGGAGGCGGTGCCTGGCGCCGGCTGGAATCCGAACCAACCAGATCTGAAAGATCGGTCACAACGCAGATCTGGCGCCTCCACCTGCGGCCGCTGATGGCCATTGTATTTTGGTTTGGAATTTTGATGTCTTTGATGTCGAAAGTCACTTCACTACATTGTTCTGGGGTGATGCACGATCAAACTTTGGTGCTTTTTGCTGCGTAAAGTCAACCTGCAGTTCCATCTTTGCTGCTATCGATCTCTATGAGCACAGACAGAAATCGTGCACCTCTGACGTAGATACTGTACCTAGAACAAAGCCTACCCAGGAACTGCTTCAAGGATTGCATATCTGGCCAGGTACGGATAATTCTTCATTCTCGCTACTTTTTTGCTACTACGAAACCGTTTAAAATGACGAATACTGGAGACTGACTCTATAATCTTTTAATTGAAAGACGATAGTAGTGTTGAGCTCTTCAATTGTTGGCTGTTCATCCCATCTGTTCGCAGTCCAAATGCTCTATAGAAAGCGCATGAATACCACCATGTTACTTCTATAGCTCATTTCTTTTATGCTCTCTGTTTTTATGTAATACCTCTGGTGGCTAGTATGCTATGGAATCTTCTATTCCGTGTGGATCATGAGTGTCCGGATAGATCTCATTTCCATGGTAAACACCATCTCCCTATCTCCAGTTCATTACCCCTACAAAGGGAGATGTGCACCTGGCAACCATGTGGCTCAACCCCTACTCAGCCAAGGGGTGGAAAGAATACAGTGCCGCAGATTGCATACAAATTATAGTGGCAGACCGGCGGTGTTTTCTTTCCGCCGCATGTCAGCTAAGGAGTACCCATCTCATAATTGCGCCACCACGAGCACTCATCCGTGAAATTGGAGAATTACAGCCTTGGCACGGGCGATGAAATTAGGGATGCTACTTGTGATTGCTTGGAGGAGCCAATGTAATCACATGCGGCCACTGCTTCAGCTTGCTAATACAGCTGCATGATATAGAGGCTTGTCTCTCCCATATTTGCTCGGAGAACACCGCATTTGATCAGAGCAGTTCATTTCATCACTATAAATATCTTGAAACTCATGAGTCCGATGAGATGACGGGAAGCCCTATCGACCCGATGATCCACGTGGAAATTGTCCGTCACAAGGCGCAGAATGGTGTAGAAAGGGCTGAAGATTTTGACACAGAATCCTGAGAAAAAGCAAATATAGAAGACACTGGGCATTTGAAACCATTCGTAGCAGTGACGATTGGCCGCCCGTTATGACCATGGAGTTAGCAGCAGCAGTAAGCCATCCTGTTTGACAATCTGTAACAAGATCTGCATATGTTATGCACCTGCATTGACTCCCGTAGAATGTCCCTAATCGAAGCTACCTGTTGAAACTGCCACAACGACGGCTTCAAAGAACAAACCGAGACAGAAAAAAAGAAGCGATCTTCCCTCCAAGGCAAGGATAATGCTAGGCGCAATACGAACCTCAGGCGACGACTGGGGATGAGACAGGCATCCTGGCATAGACTGCTGGAGACCACGTAGCAGTGTTCCAGGTCAATTTCAACATGGCGCTGCAACAAACGGCTGTTGTCGTGCTATCGTCTGGTGTCAGGAGCCTAGTACGCTCTTTTCGCGTTTGAGGTTTCCCGCTCGGCAGTTGGAGTTGCTCCCGTTGTTTGAGCGCATGCAATCACATGCCGTCTTCGGGATGTTCTTACATTGCCGTGACGGCTGTTCTAATGGTCATACATTTGGCGTATTATCGGGTGGTGCTTCGACAATGCCGTATGTGTGCATGAGCCAAGACATTTCGCGGAGGTTTTCTTTTGTGTCGACATATGACTCTCAATTCGCACTCCCCATAGCAGTGAGAGTCATGCTCATGGGCAAATACCGATGATCGCGATGATCACATCGCCATTTCGGCCATATTGACCAGGAAATAGGCGACGGCCGTTACAGCAGCACTCATCAAGAAGCGGCAAACAGAATACCTACAGTAGCCTACGCGAACGCCATGGATCGGATATAAGGTCGACTAACACGCAACGGTTTGGGCAGTACGTACCTCCAGGCGGTTTGATGCCTGTCAATCGGAATTATGTATCGTCACGAGCGGAAAGGTAATTGATGAATACGGTGTGGCATCAGAAACATCAATGCGTCATTCCCGATCTCTGCTGCTTATGTTGCTATAAGGCGGAGAAATATAGTACGAGCAACGGCACGGGGGCACGCGCACAGACACTGCAATAAAAAACGGCTCCATGGCTTTGCATTTGCCCAGACTTGTCATCTCCTGCAGCGGCGCGGCCCCGGTTCAGGGGATGGGGATTGGTGATGAGTGTCTCATCCGCTCTTGATACAAGATCCACAGGCGAGAGAAACAGGCTGACCACGACGCGCTACACGCCAGGCACCTGTAACTGTATCAACCATGGGGCATGAGTACGCTGCTGCTCCGTGCGTTCAGCAGTCAATACGTAAATCGAACGTTCAAACACTTCTCGGCGGCACCAAGCAGAGCAAGACGACTGAAGACCGAGATGCAAGGCTCTGCGGGCGCATGCTTCGGGTGAAACAAGCTGTTCTGGGGATACGTGGATAACACTGATGTGGTCAGCATCTTGTGTTAGGATATTGGCGTACTCGCACGTAAAGAAGTATTACAGATCGCTTCCTCACCGAGTATGTGATGGGTGCGTGTAATACTCGTAATACTAGCCGGGCAATGTAAGTGATCAGACGATAAAACCCACGACTCCAGGGTTCGCCTGCACTCATGTCCGTAATCGTGCAGCCAGCGATTCATATGGGACATTTGACAATTGATTGATCAATCCAATCCAACCCATCTATCCACCCAAAGTACATGTACCTGTTATGGTCTTCATCAACTCTGTGGAGCGAGCCAAAATGAGGGTGCTAGCGATTCGGCGCAGATGAGCGCTCACTCAACGGCTGCCGCGGCGTTTGGAACCTGTACCTACAGTATAGCGCCTGACACCAGTCTGTTATCATCAATGGAAGCCAGCATTACTGGAGTAACGTGAACAGATGCAGATGCTCAACTCGTAGTAGTACGCACTAGGTAATGGTATTACTCTCCGCGGTGCTTGGAAGCCAAAGCGCTGATGTTTGGTTGTGATTGCGCGGGATACGAGAAAAGGCATGGGTGGCACTGAAGCAGCAAGTCTCAGTACCTGCGACAGGACTCGTACCGTCCAGGTAGTTTGCAGGTAGCTCAGGTTACCAGCTGGTAGCCGCCCCATATTCGGTGCTAGGAAATCATACCAGTTGGCCCCAGAATGCCCCAAGTTCTGCTAGCACCACGGAGCAGTGGGGCATAATGTGTGAGAAAGGTGGTACGTAGCGTCAAACCAGGCAATGGATTGATTTCCATCTGTCCATGTTCCCTCTGAACTTCTTCCCCTGGCCATCATCGTGCTGTTTTTTTTTTCCTGCGCTTGGCGTGGCCGGGGCCCATTATTTTTCTTATGTTGTTTTTCTTTTCTTTTCTGCCCTGAAGAAGACAACGAGGCTGTCTCATGCTACACTGTTTCAGCCCACTACGAAGAGGAACAGAAGATTGATCCTTTCTACCTCTCAAAGACTTGTATTGTAGTCCGTACAAGTACGAGTACATTAGTATGCCAGCGCACTCCATGCCTTTACGGTACTAACCAGCTTGCGGCCGGTGAAAAACGGTGGCGTTTTCTGGGTCTTGCTGCCGCTCGGCTGGACGCAGATGCTCACATGTAATTTGCGCCTGCAGGCAGATGGACTAATGCGCCTTCGTCTGATTATGCTCCGTAGTCTTGCTCCGTAGCGGTACTGCAGTAATATCAAACACGATGTTTTCGTCTGGTCTTGTTTTCAGGAGAGAAATTGATTGATTGCGTTTAGCAAATATTACCGCGCTGTACTTGGAGTCAGATGGGATCAATACAATCCATAGCTGGGTGCCTTGTTAGCAGCAGCAAACAGGGCTGTGGCACCAGCATATGCGCGGAGCCATGAGGGCGGACCTCTGGCTGACTTTTGCTGCACGGAGTAGTCCGTGAAATCGTACGGAAAGAGTCCAAGCGCGCCGAGACCGTTCTTCTAGTAATACCTGTAGGACGGAGAACCTGTAACAGAAGGCCAGAATTTGTTCGAGAAGCCTCAAGCTACGCGACTAAAGATCAAATGGCTCCGTTTCTGCGTACGGAGAAAGTACCTGTACTAGCAGCCCCTGGTCGAGGACCCCTGACCTGCTCGGGTATCCGCTCTGTAGCATTTATTGCCCTGGGATAACGATTTGAAGCCATTGTGGCGATCATTAGCGATGGCGAGCAGCAAAAGTGCGGCCTGCCATGTATTTATTACTGTAGTAGTAGATGTTGTGATTCACCCATCCTGTAGGATACTGAGTGGGCGTATAAGTTAGTAGGTGTTTCGTTTCTAGGATTTAGACATTAGGATGAAGGATTCAACAAACCATCAAACCCGTCACAAACGCAGCAGTTGTACTGTAGCAGCAGCAAGCGACGGCAACAGGCAAACGCGCGCATCAGCATCGTCAATGTTTAAAATTGAACGTGATGGTTGAATTGCCCTTTCTCCCTGGCTCCAGAATCACATTTGCACCCACCCAGGCCAGGGGCCCCCATGTCGTCGCCTGCTGCTCTAGGACAGTCGCTCCACCGCGATAGTTGGAACTCCAAACCTGCTCCAAGGGCTCCCGGCGCTCTCAGTGGCCCAGACCAGGGGCTCAATTGAACCGGCTAATGCTCGAACCCCCGTTCGTGCCAAATTGAGCATCCCAGAGTCCATGTGGCATGATGATTGGTCGCTTAATCAAGATGAGTGAGCCTGGGACATTAAAGTGCAAGTAGGGAATACCGCATAAGAGTAGTGCGTGCACAAGTCCAGCGTTAGTACGGAGTACATACGATTACTCGTACAGTAGACGGCACGAGGCCAATTGGCCCGCGATGCCATCCATCAGATCCTTTTCTGCGCTTCCTCTGCCAGCCTGCCTGCCCGCTGCCTTGCCGTTGGGCTACGTCGCACCGCATTGCCTTGCGTCAAAGCGTGTGTGCGTTACGGTAGAGCCATCGCCCAATAGGGATCTTGATCCGTCCGCCATCTGTCGCCTACTCCGACGTGAGGCTGTACAAGATGCTCGCCCTTTGGACCGACTCGACTCGAGCTTCAAACTGCTTGCTCCTGCCAGCCCATGCGGCCGCTGAAATTACCATCATGCTCGTCCGCCTGATAGCTGCACAGTACGCGCCACTGGCCCGTGTAACTTAGCAGGTCTGCGGAGGCGCTTGATCGGGGATGCAATTAAAAACACATCATGTATCTGTGTTGATCCTGGTCAAGCCACCCTGACGAGTACAAGCACTAAAAGCTGTGCTGTGCTTTTGGCAATTTGTGGTGGAGGTGCAGCAGAGCGATTGCTTTCGCCAGGTACAGGTACACGGTGCTGCAAATGGGGCAGGCCGAGTGTCGGCAGCCGTGCGCACCGTGTACAAGCGCAAAAGGAGATTCATAGTGCGAAATGGCCTCGTTTCAGCGCCCTCGCCTCGTCCATGCACTGTGCAATCCACCAGTTCGGGCTGCTGCGCGCACTTCCCCCGTCATAACGTGACGGCGCCTCGCAGCGCGCTCCCTGCTGCAGCAGCGGTGGAGCCGCTGAAGCTGGAGCTCTGGCTCGGCAATTGCTAGGCTCTAGCCCGCCCAGACAGACCCTGGCGGCCCCGGCCATCTCCACAGTTTCCAGGGCGGATTCAGGTACGGTGCTTGCCAAGTACATCCGCGCTCCCTTTTCTCGCGCTGGAGGCAGCACTAGTACAAGTACTTGCATGTAGAACGTAGAATGTAGAATGTATAGGAGCTTGGCCCCCCAACACTGAGCCCCCCTACGGCAATAGTACCTCCTTCTCGGCCATACCTTTTGGAGCATCCTCTCGCTCGCATCCTCCCCCAGCCGGTTTTGCTCCTCTCGCCCCCCCAATCTCCATTTCCGTCGCGGATCTCATTTCCACGACACCCAATTCTGCGTCTTCAACCTGCGCACCAAACTCTTTCCTTGGCCATCTTCTCTTCTCTGTTTGCGATTTTTGTTCGTGTCCGCCTTGAATTGCCCTCCATTGGCATTCATTCCTCGCCTAGCAGGCCGTGTTCTAGTAAGCTTCTCTCTTCTCTCCCTTTGCTTTTCTTTCCTGCTCTTCGTGCATTTTTCTCGGGGAGCATTGCCTCGTTTCCAGTCTGTCCTTTTTGCGCTGCCATAGGGCTTCATCGACCGCGACTGCGCTTTTCGGTTCCTCTCGACCATCAGCCATCTCGTGAGCGACACGACGCGAATCCTCGCTCAGAGCTTCTCGCTTTCGACGCTCTCTCGCGTGCATCGTCGCGATTGCTCGTGCGACCTAGCAGGCCGCAGTGTTTTTCCTCGACGAACCCCTGACTAACAGAATCTGCTCTCCTACAGTATCAACGTCGGCATCATTGGCGGTTCTAGACACGTAGCATACGCGAATCATTCATTTTCATCTCATTATAATTTTCATTTTCAAGACGAATTCTATTCATACCATCCCCCACAGTCGCCAAAATGGGTTGCGGAATGTCTACAGAGGACAAGGAGGGCAAGGCCCGGAACGAGGAGATTGAGAATCAGCTCAAGCGGGACAAGATGATGCAGCGAAACGAGATCAAGATGTTGCTTCTGGGTATGTACACCATTCGGTCGTGTTTGGTGCAGAATCTACGCTTCTGCTCCCTATCGAGTTCCACCACCCGACTAACGACGGATTGATAGGTGCTGGTGAATCTGGAAAGTCGACCATTCTCAAGCAGATGAAGCTGATCCATGAGGGTGGCTACTCTCGCGATGAGCGCGAGTCGTTCAAGGAAATCATTTTCAGCAACACTGTTCAGTCCATGCGCGTCATTCTCGAGGCCATGGAGTCTCTTGAGCTGCCCCTTGAGGATCAGCGCATGGAGTACCACGTCCAGACCATCTTCATCCAACCTGCTCAGATCGAAGGCGATGTCCTCCCCCCGGAAGTTGGCGGTGCCATCGAGGCTCTGTGGAAGGACCACGGTGTACAGGAGTGTTTCAAGCGATCTCGCGAATATCAGCTGAACGATTCAGCCAGATAGTAAGTTCACTTTTCTTTTGGCTAACGCTATCAAAAGCTGCATTCGCGTACTCACCTCTATCACTAGTTACTTCGATAATATCGCGCGAATTGCCGCTCCCGACTACATGCCCAACGACCAGGACGTTCTCCGATCACGTGTCAAGACCACTGGTATCACCGAGACGACATTCATCATTGGTGATTTGACCTACCGAATGTTCGACGTCGGTGGTCAGCGATCTGAGCGAAAGAAGTGGATTCACTGCTTCGAGAACGTCACCACCATTCTCTTCCTGGTCGCCATCTCCGAGTACGACCAGCTGCTGTTTGAGGACGAGACAGTCAACCGAATGCAGGAAGCTCTGACGCTCTTCGACTCAATCTGCAACTCCAGATGGTTCATCAAGACGTCCATCATTCTCTTCCTCAACAAGATCGACAGATTCAAGGAGAAGCTGCCGGTCAGCCCGATGAAGAACTACTTCCCCGATTACGAGGGTGGTGATGATTATGCGGCCGCGTGCGACTACATCCTGAACCGATTCGTCAGCCTGAACCAGCACGAGACGAAGCAGATTTACACGCACTTTACTTGCGCCACAGATACCACCCAGATTCGCTTTGTCATGGCAGCAGTCAACGGTATGAGATGGCTCCCTTGAGGCCTATATATGGAATCACAGCTAACTCTTATTTTTCTCTAGATATCATTATTCAGGAGAACCTCCGTTTATGCGGTCTCATCTAGACGACTTGTCCTTTCTCTTTTATTTCTATTTTTGTTTTAAGACGCACGAATACCCTCAAACTCGATTACGACCGCCACCAGATGGGCCACGGAGATACGGCTCATGATCTTGATTGTACTCCTTGCGCCAGCGAGACGACAGCCAGCTCAAGGAGCTTCTTTTTTTTTCTGCGGGCTTCTCCTTCGCAATCTTGAACTGTCCTAGATAATGGTACTTTTTTTTTTCTAAAGCTAAGACTCTATGGCGAACATTCGGCATTTACAAGACTTGTGAGAGCTATTACAAGGATTGTCGGGAGATGCTGTGTATCAAAATGAAATCTTCTTTTTTTCAATTTCAAAAAGAAGAGGATATGGCCAGCGTCGTGAAAGAAGGGAGGCCGTCAAGGGAGTGGAAACGGCGTGGCAGCTCATGGGAAGAAGGGAAACTACTTACATCTGACACGATTGTGCGAATGGGCGGCGGCCATTTACTTTGTTTAATTATGAAACCACATTTTTTTTTTCACTCGGCCTGTCTCGCTTAAAAAAAAGTGTATTGTCATATATTCCAGCTTTCCAGTTTTCTGTACTCGCATATTCAGTTTTTTTTTCATCTCGTTATTTTTCTAATGTTTCGTCGCCTGATCATCTCTTCATTGTTTTCTCATTATTCATTCTTGTTTTTGTTATTTTGTGTTCTGAATCTGAAATCATGCGTAAAGGACCAGTTGTTTTCTTTTCATTTGCGCGTCTTTCCTTTCTTTGTTCTTTCTTTCTTTCTATCCATCTTTACTATTCTATTTCTCTTCTCTTTCTCTTTTCTTTTTTTTGCGATGGCGAGTCGAGGAGGGAAAAGGACTTGGGCATGGCAGTGGGTGGGGAGAGCGGGAGCGGGTAGTACGATATTTGTTTTGCTTTTGGTGTGTGAGAATTATAGCATGTGAGTCTGGGTGTAAAATTCGAGTATTTTATGTAATAGTCATGAATTGTCTTCAATGCTGCTCTTTCCCGTGCGTGACTCTGTGAGTTTTAATGGTGATTGCTGGTAATGCGTAAGAGGGTAGACATCGAGTAATTTTAGTTGTTTGAGACGGCATATCTAGGCAATCACATGGAGTCACATATCTTATTCATCATTAGGGCAATTGCAACTGTAGTTATGAAAAAGTCAAATTGGTATTGTACGTCCTATAAGTACCAAAGCAGCAAAACTAAAAGGGGGGTATATATCCTCTGAAATAGCAGCCAACTTCTCAAACTCCCCTCCGTACCGCGTAAACTCATGACCAAAGTTCGTTAGTTCGTTCAGCAAAAGTGATAATGCCCAATGTCCACCATGTACATGAAAGAGACCTGGTGAAAGAAGAAGATGGGGAAAACGAAGTAGAAGCACGCAAGCCTATGCTCAAAATCTGTGTTGTCTTCAAGATCGAAGTGTATATGACGTCGAAATTATGAAAAGATGAAGGATCTTTTAAACTTTCCAATATCTCTCCCAATGTGAGATATCGAAACAGTAAGGCATCCAGAATGTGGCTTTTTGGCTCGTCGAACGAATAAGGCTGGTATGGGCTGGACAAATTTGCTTGATATGCATCGCTAGTTGTAGCTCTTCGGTAGCCAAGTTTAACTTGACAGAGCAAATATGGAGTAAATGAAATAATCTGTAGTTAAGAAGGTTAATCCTCAGACAGAAGGAGTAAACTCGCGGCGGGGAACATACCATGTTCTGGCCGACACCATGTTGGCCAAGGTCGAGCTGTCAAAAGGGCTTTTCTGACATTTGAAAGTAGCATATTCTTCTTTCGATTCTGCACCTTCTTCTCTCTTCAGTATCATCACCGTTCTTAGATGTAGCAGGTAATGGTAACAGCAAAAGTAACCAACAAGAGCTCAACTCAGGATCTCGTCAGGAGGGGCGTCAGCCATCGAAGCCTCAGTAGCCTGAGTGTGGCTATTCTGGGCGCGCTCCCTCTCCAAGGCAGCATTCTGCTCCGCCATGCCCTCAGGGGTCCTGAGAAACTCCTCGTATTCTGCAATTCGCATGCCGAGCTCCTTAGCAGCGGCTTCGATTCGAGCAAGAAAACGGTCCCTTCGAGAGAAGGTGGCTACGTCAGTGATTGTCTGGGTGATCAACTGCTTGGTTGACTCAGAGAGGCCCCATTGGGTGATGTCTGCGGAGAGATTGATGTTCGCGTTGGGTGATGTAGACTGCGATAGCGCAGGTGGCTGCAGAGCCATGAGATTTGCCGAAGCAGCGACTGATGCTGCGAACAAGGTTTGCGGTTGCGGATGGTTGTTCTCTGTGCAGGACAATTAGCATTGAATAGTTCATATGATATGATGAAGCTGAAGTGTTGGTCATGAGAACTAGGAGTGAAAAGATTGAAGAGGGAGGAGGAGGAGGAGGAGACGGGGCAGAAGAGAACGTGTATTCATTGCTGATCTGATGTGCAATTGATGGAGATGAATTCGCAACTCACCATGAAACGTGCACCTTGAGCCACTTGCGTTGAACCAGCAGTTTGTACAACTTCCACACATCTGGCCGTCATACACAACGCACTGAGTCCAGGGTCCATGACCCTTGTGGCAATTCTTGCACGGCTTGGGGGCGCTTTGTCCCGTCATGTGAGCGAGCAGAGCCTCAACGTTGCTTCGACGCTCAATGTTGAGCTTCTGGTCGACGCGACGTTGAGTCGGCTCCCGCAACGCAACTTCAGCGGCGAGCTTCTTGCACAGCGCACTGTCGATTTTCACCTGGTCCCCATAGGCGGCATAAGCCAAGTCTGCTGCAGTTCGAGATGCTGGATCTTCTGGGGATGAGTGATCGGGCATCTGGTGGTCATCAAGCTGAAAGTCGTCGGCAGAGCGAAGAGCACTGAGAGATGAGTGAAGAGGCGTCATTGAACCTCCATTGGCGAGCATGTTGATGGCTGTGAACTTATCGGCAGATTCAATTGGGCTCTCTTCAATGGTGTCACGCTCGGGAATGGCATCATCAAGCGTCGTGGATTCATGGTTAACAGTGGAATTGGCAGCTTCTTTTGCGTATTGCTCGAGTTGTTCTTGAGCTGCAGCAGATAAAGACGATTGACGGCTGCCCCTGCGAGCACCAGATCCTGGAGCGGGCTTCGTGACTTTATTCGGGCGTGGACGAGAGGGCATGATTGCAGTTGAGATAGAATCAAGCAATTAATTGAGATTCCTCGAGCCAGAAGCTCTTGATGATCGTGTAAGTGAGGTTGTGATGGTGATGTTTTTGGGTTGGAGCGGCAACAGCTGGACGCAGCTGTAGAAACCCGGCAAAGCGATGAGAGTCTGGGCCTTTTTAGGCAGATGCGTACTGTGCATAAATATGACGACTTAGGTAGAGAAATCGGCAATTCGCACGGTATCGAGACTCTGCCAGTTGTGCAATGCTTCAGATTCAGTTCACTTTTTCCTGACTGACGTTAGGGCATCATTCAGAGTTAGCATCAATGGCCTCGCTTGTTTATCTATACCATTCACATTTGATTTTATTTTCTCTTACGTGCTAGCATTCAAGTTGCTCGGCTGCTCCCAGATTCCCTGGCCGCGTCCCTCAGTAATCTCCTTCCATCGCTGGGCAAACTCTCTCAGGCCCCCTTCTCCTGCAAGACTGGCATCGACAACCTCCTTGGGAAGCTTGTGAGCAGAGTATTGTGGTGAGCTAAAGTTGTACGCCTCCGGGTCATTCTTCCTGACGAGGCGGACTTCTGGCTGGCGATCTGGGCTGTACTCGGCACCTGCATCGTCATCCGTCTCATCTCCCGTTGTCTCCCCTCCACTCCCATCTGAGCCCTGGCCCTCCGAAACGGATCCGTACAAGGGATTCTCAACTTCCATGGTGAGAAGCTCTTCCCACGCAAAGAGAAGGCTGTCCGTGCTTGGGGCCCATGGGTTAATATCCATAAGTCTCACCTTTCCCAAGCCATCTTCGGCAAAAGTGTTTCCAGGTATATAAATGTCAAAGACAAAGGAGGAATCGGGGAAAGTCAATCTCAGCTTCTGGCGGAAGAACGTCCTAATCTTCTTCCACAGCTGCCCCTGAAGCCTCTCTAGAAAATCGTAATGGTTGAGATCTCTCTGCGTAATTCCAATGAGTGACCGGTGCTTGACAAAGCACCTAAATTCCAGAGCAACATGAGGCGTGAAGAAAGGTCTAAGGACAAGAACCGGTGTGAACGGTCTCATTGGCGGAGTATCTGTGCAGTCGTCGAATGCATGAAGAAGGTCATGCGAGACGAAAGAAGAAGACTTCAAGAGAAGATAAATGTCGTTTGGAGTTGTGCATTTGAGCGTGTTTTGATGCGGCGATATCCATTTGGCGTCTTTTGGAGAGGACCAGTTAAGCTTCGGCGCGACAGAACCGCCCAGCTCGGCAATTTTCTGCTTGATGAGTTCATGAGTCTCCGGGAAGCGCTTGTTTGGAGGAAGTCTTTCCTCCTCTTCCTCGTCCTCGTCGTCGGAAGAGTCATATGGAGAGATCCGAGGATGCGTAGCGGCAGAGCTTGACCACTCTGCCTCCTCTGGCTCATTGGCCTCGTCGTCGTCTGCGAGAATGATGCCGTCTTCATGGAGATATGATATAAATGCCGGTGGAAGAGGTATTATCCGAGACTTGAGACAGGAGCTTCGGTATTTGGGGAACCAGGCATCGTATGAACAATTTTGAATATGGTCCCTGGTAACTGGTGGGAAGACAACCGTTGACTCGCCCTCTCTGGGGAGGATCTCGGGAAGGTGTGGCATTTTGGAAGGAGAATGTGCTATACAGAGGAATGATCGATCCAAGAGAAATCTGGGAAGAGCGATGACAATAAATAACTGTCTATATGACTATGAAGACAGGCTAAATGGGGTTAATTCAAGAGGTTGACTCATAAGGATGCATCTCGCATGTAATAATGCAGGGCAAGAAAATGGCAGAGGGGCACAATTTGCCCCTCCGTTATCGAGTTCTGCCATGACTCTTTCACCTTTATCAGCGGGAAGCCTTCACCGCCCAGCGCTATTCTCTATTCGCAGCGCTTCCGGCAGCTAGCCGCAGTGGACTTCCCAGCAGGATGGGCGCTAGAGCCGCTAATGATGACAGTTCCAGTTACCTGCAGCGCTCTGGCTCCAGCAAAGAACCTTGAACCTTGAATTTTGAGTCTCGACGCGACACAGTGATCAAACGTCACCCTCGAGCTGCCATTGTATCGTATCGCCGCAGACAACACTTGAGAAATCCGCAACAACAATCATGTCTGATAATGTTGGTCTCTCGACGCCGCGAGGCAGTGGAACCTCGGGCTATGTCCAGCGGAACCTCGCCCAGGTCAGGCCGCGTGATTACGCCGCGCCGTATCCCAAAGATCGAGACAGCATGCGACACAAGCAGCGACAGCCGGACAAGGCGATTCTCGAGCACGATCGAAAGAGAGAGATTGAAGTCAAAGTATTCGACCTAAGAGATCAGCTTGAGGAAGAAGAGTATGCCACCTCCCTGGTGCCGGTGAACACGCAAGTGACAGCAATGTTAATCATCTCACAGGGTTGATGAAGAAGAGATTGACCGCCGGTGCGACGAATTACGAAAGAAGCTGCTTGCGGAGATGAATTCGAAAAACAAAGCCAATGCACCGAGGAGGGCTTTCAAGGAGCATCAAGTGCACGAGATGGCCGATGCGAAGATAAAGGAGAGCGAGCGTCTCAGGAGAGCGCTGAAAATTAGCTCCGACTACGAGGAAGGAGGACACTGGAAGAAGCAAGAGGAAAGATTACAGGAAGCGTTGGCAAAAAAGGAAGAGGAAGACAGGGACTGATTTGCTCATTCAGCGCTATCCGTCGCTTTTGATATCAAAAAGCGATATGCTTGGCTTTATCTGTACTACCGGTTTGGGGCTCATTGGGCGGGTGACATTGGAGTTTTGGCGTTTCCTGGTTATGCGAATCTATGGAAAGGCCTTTGTTTTCAGCCATGCTGTTGGTATTTGCGAGAGAGACGACGAGATCAATATTTGAAGCAGCTTGATAATTCGGACTGAGTAGAGTCGTGATGCCGAAGAAGGACTGGTTCAGGACATGAAGGAAGTTATTGCGAGGTTTTCTCGATAAATGATGCACAGTCAAAGTGTAATAACCATCCTCTTGGATTTTGATCCAAGACAATCTTAATTTTATAGTCTCGTTCTAGAGACTAGAACGTTGTATTAACTAGAAGGGTGACTTCGTGCTATGTAATCTCCTCTCCTTTTGCGAGTGTGTTGGCACTCGAATCAGAGGTCATAGCACAACACCTTCTCCATGGATTGGGTATGATTCGGTAGAACGAGGGAACGGATTTCACCCTTCACAGCATTTTTAAGCCCTCCCGGCGCCTTCAAGTTCGTCTTGTGAAATGTCAGCTGCACCTTGTAAGTGACCCTCTGGTGGCGGCAAACTGCCTAAACTGGTCACCTGTGGCGCACTGTGAAGCTTCAGCCACATATACCATGCCAGCGACGTAATTCTACATGTAACAAGATCATCTTCCTGTCGCAAAACCAACCACCAGTCACTGCAATCGATTCTCATAGCGATCATGGCGATACTCCCAAACTTACCTGCTGGAGAATCGCCGAATCTGTCTCCGGTAGAGCTTGCGCAGCTCCTCTCCCGGCTAAAGCAGTCTGTGCTGCATCCGAGCCCCGAACGCGAACGAAGGCTGCGCAACAGCGAGTTTGAGAGGACAAGGGTCGAGGCTGTGAGACTGGAACAAGGCATGACTGCTATTGGGTGTCGCTAACCACTTGGCATAGAACCTTCAATATGCGCGAGCGGCGCTTACGAAGCTAGAGCAGACGCTGCCAGGACGGAGGACAGATACGCAGGGCGATCTCACAGCACAAAAGGAAACACTGGACCTACTGTTTGATCGGCTGGAGGATCTAAGAAAGGTATACCAATGGTCATTTCAGGAGGATGTAGGTTAAGGCTAACATAAGCTAGGTGGCCGTGGATGAAGACGACTCATCCGAAGGCGAAGACCTTCTGGGAGACATCATACAAACGCCAAGCGAGAGCCAGGACTCTAGACGGTCGTCAAATGCGCCGGCAGGAGAAGGCTACTTTGAAAGCGAAATACCAGATGCAGAACCCCCCTCACCCCCGCCGCGAGATGAACCTATACCCGAGCCCTCTACGACGACTACTATTGCACCCACCGAGACCGCCAGCGAAACCCTCCCTACACAAACGTCCCAAACATTGCGCGCCCGCCCCTCTGCATCATCTCCGACTCCCTCAGCTCATAGCACAGCTCGTGCTGCACTGTTCGCCAATCGCGCCACACCCGCAAGTCCTCAAGCAACGACAGCTACAGCAGAAGCCATCCTGGACCAGCAGCGCGTGGAGCAAGATGCCATCTCAAACTCTATTCTCATGATGGCGAGTGCTCTAAAGGAGAGCTCAAAGAGCTTCTCGGCAACCCTCGAAGAAGACAAGAATTTACTGGATGCTGCAGGGTCCAGCATGGAGAAATCGGGACATAGCATGGAAGCAGCACAGGGGCGGATGGGATCTCTCAGGAGAATGACTGAGGGGAAGGGTTGGTGGGGGAGGATGATGCTGTATGCGTGGATATATGGCTTGATGGTGTCGTTGATACTATTGGTGTTTGTGTTTCCAAAACTGAGATTTTGAGAGGGCTGGGGTTGCTGATATGGAATGATGTATCATGATGGGATTGGTTGTTACGATACCTGTACAGCATAGATGAAAGCGCTGACATTTCTTGATTTCGATGTAATACTAAGCGACTAAACTAGCTTTTCATGTAAATTTTCTTGTTCAACAGCTTGTCTTGTGCCTGTGGCTTTTAGAAAATGGGTATATGTAAGGATGAGATGGCTCATCATTCCACTTATGTGAGATCTGACATTAGCTCGTGTTTTCTTGTATATCCGAGATTCTGACTATCCGAGATTTCTAACTATCCGAGATTTTGACTAGGTATCCGAGATTCTGATTATCCGAGATTCTGACTATCCGATTTCATTGAAGAGTCACTCAGAATATGTCATTGATACATCCGGATCCATTGCTGCAGCATCATCGGACTCCAGTAGCGTTTCCTGTTCATCTGCTTCGCCTTCATCCTCTGAGATATCCTCTCCTGTATCATCGACATCGACACTAACTTCTGAACACGTTCCAGAATCTTCGACAGCCTTTTCATTGAGGGTTGTGGTTTCGTGATCCTCCACATCGATGGTGATGTCTTGAGGGTCAGTTACAACGGTGTCTTCTTTCGCCTGAGTATCTTCTACCGGGGGCCAAGGCAATCCTCTCAACTGGGCGTTGATCTCCAGACAATACTCGTAGCAGAATCGAAGGCGGCGACCAACGGGCTTTCCTCCAGTCTACACTCAATATATTTAGCCACCATATCACAAATGAGCACACTTGAAGCACCGTTCTTCAAGAAATATGCAATCGAAATCTTGGGAGGGAATCAACTTACGGGCGGTGCGTACTGAAAGAACGAATTCGACATAGTATTCTGCCCGATCACACGATCCTGCCATTCGATCCCCGTCTTGATACGGAAAAAATCCATAAAGAGATCCATTTCTTGACGCCAGGGGCCGGAGCAGGGGCTTGGCCGGTGGAAGCTGGGCTGGCTGTCTCCCTTCTTCTTCATGAACTTTGCGGTGAACCAGTAGAGATGGGGCTTTGCGTTGGATTCCCAGAGCTGTAGTATATTTCGCGTTAGAGAGCAATTCGGTAATCCTTTCTTTTGCTAATGATATCTTACGCAGAGGGTGTAGCGCTGTCCCAACTCTCCTGTTTCAACGTCGTCGCGGGTAATATCGATCTGGTACGAGAAGAATGTTCGATCACTGTAAATGTGGAAAAAATCTAGCCATATAATTGTTAGTTGAAGCATTTGGTATCTTATATGACATAGAGGGTATGGATCTTACTCGTGTTCACGGCTCTCTCGCCCTCTCTCTTCCCCTTTTCAATTCGAGCTCGTTCCCGTTTCTCTGCATTTTGCTTAGCGATGATGTTTCTCATGGAATATTCCCTTTCTGGCTCCCTCTTCTCATTGACGGCGGAGATTTCGAACCAGTCGCAGTGGACTATGTGTTGTCGCTTCCCGTGGGCGAGAGCCTCTTTGACTGTATATACAGAGTAAGCAATATGCTTAAAGTAGTAGAAGGAAGGAGAATATATGTATCGAGATGCAAACAAAAAAAGGAAAAGGGAAGAAGAGTTACTTCTTGGGAGTTTGCGGTCGAATTGCTCGCGAGTACATAGAAGATGCGTGACTTGCTCGTCGAATTCCTCTGTGAAGATGCCTTTGCGGATGGATGTCCATTGGCGGAGGTTGTCGACGGTGAGTTGGCCAGGCAGAGGGCCTGCCGTGGCGATGACGAGATTTTTGAATATGCGACGAGGCATTGTTGTGAGTTGTTGGTGAAGGAGAAAATGACGTTGGTGGGCGAAGAAAGGAAGAATAAGGACATTGGGGGGGGGGGAGATGGCTGAGATTGCAGAGTATCGAAAGAATCAAGTTCTGGGTAGTAAACTGAATTAGATTGTATGCATTGGGGTTTATAGTTGGGGAAATTGTAAGGGCATGATGCAGTACAAAACTGCGTTGGCGGTGTGGTTGTTGATGAACTCAAGACAACTTACACGCGAGGTTGGAGCTGTCTGGTGGCGAGTGGACAGATGCCGTCACAATCAGCTGCGGCACTGACACAGACCTCCTCGACTTGATCGGAAGTTACTTGGCTTATGTGATGGGCAGGCAAACACTGACTACAGGTAACGCATGATGTTGTGATAGATGGCAAAAGACTTTTATTGAGTTGGCAAATTTAGTTCTACCCCTGTATCTGTCTATCAATATCTCATAGCGAGCCCATTGGCATCTCTTGTTTACTGAGCATCTACCTAATTGCTTTTCCAGCATTGACAAAGGCATTGATTTTGGCCAAGCTTTGCTTACCATCTTCCTCAACACCACTGCTTACGTCCACTCCAATGACTTGGCTGCTAAACTCTCCCAGGGCGTTGACCACTTCTGCAACATTGTCGGGGTTGAGTCCTCCAGCCAAGAAGATCCTCAGGTCAGGATCCTTTTGAAGTAGCTCCTTTACGTTTGAAACGTCCAGCAGCTTTCCAGACCCAGCTCCAGAGTCCAGGAGAGGAACAACGTGGTATCCCCGGAGACCGACAGCAGGATGGTTGGGCTTGAAGCAGCGGATGACAGGCACGGGGATCGCCTTTGCCCATTCAATCGGTTCCTCACCGTGAAGCTGAACAAGGTCAAGGTTGTAAAGCCTCTGCTTCTCCAAAACTTCGCTCAGGGGCTGGTTCTGGAAGATGCCTACTACCTGTGTGCGTGAGGTCTTGAGATTTTGCGATGTGAGGGAAAAGAAATCCGTGGCGGCTGATGTCGCGATCGGTAGCTTTACAGAGGCTTCTGATGACTTGGAAGTTGCACGAACTGCTTCTGAGATGGCCAGGGCAACCTCGTGAGAAGCAGCCCGCTTCGCTCCGGGGACAAAGTTAACACCAATAAAGTCAGCGCCCGCCTTGACTGCTTCTAATGCGGCCTCGACGGTGCGAATTCCGCAGATCTTGACGTGCACTTTTTCGGGCGAGTTGTTTTTCGGCGGCGGTTTGCTTCCGGAGCATAGTTCACTGATGAATGTTGTCGCATCTGGTGCTTTCATAATCGCCTCGCCCACAAGGACGGCATTGATTCCGTCCCTCTTGCAGTCAAGAACGTCTTGATGCTTGTTGATACCGCTCAGTGCGCAAATAATGGTAGTATCTGGTACCATGCTTCGCAGCCGTCCCGTTGTGTTGATGTCAACCTCGAATGTTTCGAGGTTTCGGTTGTTGACGCCAATGACCTTGGCACCAAGCTTGACTGCAATCGTCATTTCATCGGCGTTTTGAACTTCCACCAGGGGCTCCATGCCGAGGGATAGTGAGTACTTGTACAAGCGCTCTAGTAGCTCGACTTCGAGCATCTTGACGATCAACAATACTGTGTCTGCTCCAGCTAGTCTTGCCTCCAGAATTTGGTACTCCTCAAAGATGAACTCCTTCCGGAGGATTGCCGGTCTGTTTGGCATACCATCCAAAACCTGGCGGACAGCCCTCAGATCTTCAATGCTGCCCTTGAACCACTCGGGTTCTGTCAACACAGAAATCACGCTTGCGCCAGCAAGTGCATACTTGCGAGCTTGAACAGGAGCCTGAACTTCTAGAGCAAAGATACCCTTTGATGGGGAACCGCGCTTGATCTCTGCCATCAGGGCCACATCAAAAGGTGATTGCTTTAGCCGGCTGACGAATGGTACCAAGGGGGGAGCAGCATTAAGGTCGTATGCGGCTTGAAGGTCGCTCATTCGCTGAGATGGAATTTCCTTCTGCTTGGCTACGGCGGCCTTTCGGTTTGCGTAGATGGTCTGTAGAATGTTGTTCTTTTGCGGCTTAGGCGCAGCGGAGGTGGTGCTTGTTGATGATGCGGCCTTTTGGAGTCGGGTATTCTCTTCCCAGGTACCGCCCTGCATGTGGAGGAAGTTTCTAATCATAACACGGCCCTCAGCAGTGAGGATACTCTCCGGGTGGAACTGCACACCCTCAACGACATAGTTCTTGTGACGAACTCCCTGGATGATGCCGGCCGAGCCATCTGGCTTAGCCACCCAAGAAGACACTTCGAGGCACTCGGGCAGAGTGAGATGAGTGCCAGCAAGGGAGTGGTATCGGGTCACAGGAAGGCCCTGAGGCAGACTGGCAAAGACACCCTTGGCATCGTGGGTTAGGGGAGAAGTCTTTCCGTGCAGCCACTCACCAGCGGAAGAGACTTCGCCGCCATAAACGTCAAAGATGCATTGCCTTTGTCACAATTGTTAGCCACATGAAGAAGTGACTGGGGATTGAAATAAACTCACAAGCCCATGCAGACCCCCAAGACGGGAATCTTGCCAGCAAAGTGTCGAATGGCATCTCGGCTGACTCCGGAATCAGTCTGAGGATGACCAGGGCCGGGGCTGATGATGAGCTGAGTTGGGTTGTGCTTGATCAGCTCGTCCACTGTGATCTTGTCATTTCGGAACACATGGACCGTGGCACCCTCGAGAACAAGGTACTGATAGATGTTCCAAGTGAATGAGTCGTAGTTGTCAATGAGGATGAGGTTGGATGCTGTAGCCACTGGAGGAGACGGATCCGGCTGATGAGGCGAGTGGTCGATGATGTCGAGCGAAGGCATCTTGAAAAAGCCGCAGACACGGCGATGAGGGGATAATTGGACGGGAAACGCAGTCAGCAGAAGGAAAGAAAGTTTCGCCCTCGAGATTTAGAACAAGTGAGAGTGAGAAGTGAGAGTGAGAAAGTTGTTTGCTCTGCGTCTGTCTTGATACATTCATATGAGTCAGCTTCACTAACACCAAGAATTTCTTGTGGCGCTACTTTAGGAATACAGTTGATTATCGCCTCCGCCCAAGTGCCGATAAAGCCCCGATCTGACAACTCTAAATACAGTACGAATAGCTTGAATTATTGCATAAATCGCACTGTAGCGCATGGGTCGCGGTTGATCCTCGGGTTCCTGGGAGCTTCACCAAAAAAGTCAACATGCAGCTGTTGTTGATGCTACCGACTAGAATCTAGTCGCCAAGTTTCTGCCAAAAGCGCGTCAGACGTGGATTTTCAGCATCCTCGCACCAACAGGCTCAAGGTGATGCGGCGAGCGTCTCTGCCGCCTTATTGACACTCGTGGCAATGGCGCCGCTGTCGGATACCAATTATTTTCCCTCCGTGGGACAGTGCCTCTCTGGGGAGAAAGTGCTTCTGTGAGTACGAGTCGCATGCATTTTGATGGTGGATGCAACTAATCGCAGCGTCAAGGCCTTGGAAGCTGATCGCTACAGCTCTTTCGGATGGCACTGGCAAACGGCAGACGAGCTCTGCCATCACCAAATTCTTCGACGACGACTATGTCCGTGCCCTTTTGAGCGAACCCTCGACCGCGTTTGCGCCGCCTGACGAGGCTACAAACAAGAGCTTCGAGACCAAGATAGCACCAATTAACGTCACCTCGGCCTCGACTGACCGATACGATATAAACCAATTCAAGGATGATGCGAAATGGCTGAGCAACAACGCAAAAGTCAACTTGGTGGCCGCCCTGCGAGTCGTGATCATCGAGTACCAATCCCGTTCCTCAAGTCATCTTTTGGGCCCTCTGTCATCCCACGACGCCGCCAATCTCCAAGAAGCTGCGGGCTTGCAAAATGGCCAGGGAGCAGCATTTTTGTCAGATTTGGGAGCATCAGCCGCGTTGGATGCCGATGAGATATCGGCGGAATTCGACAAACCAGAGGCGAGGAGGCGTCGCTTGTTTGATACATTCTTGACGGAGCGTCGTTTCTTCATAATGGCTGCAGATTATGCCACGTCCATCAAGCTGTATCGACGTTTGCCCATTTTCGCTCCTGGAGACAACAGAATTGCCGATCTATATAAGTTGAAGATGTCCTCTCAACCGCGTGATGAGATGGAGGCGATGCTGCCAGCTTATTTGGATGTCGTATCTAGCTGCATGAGTGGGATCGAGGCCGGCATGAGAGCATTCACGGACGAAGCCTTACTACTCAACGATGAAGTGGAACTAGAATGGCTGCGAAGCCTCTTGACCGAGATCGTTCATAGCTTGTCTGTGGTTCTTCAGCTGGTGGATTGCTATGGTAGTGACTTTCCTCCGTCCTCTGCTATCAACCAGTGGTTTTCGTTGATGGAAATCTACGGCTTCTTCGATTCTATACAGCCAGTATGTACCTCCTTGACCCCTTCGCTCTGTATTGGCTAACCACAAAAACAGATCAGCCAAATTACTGCTGAATTGATTATGCCTATGAAGGCCCTGTCTTCAGCCATCTCCATCGGCTTGCTCAAGCCTGCACGGGCACTTGCATATCTATCTGATCGAGACGAGGACCCAGCACAAGCTGACGACGTGTACGACTCATATTTGCTCTCGCCAGATGTTTTGGAGCAGGTTCACAAGAGCATCCTGGACGCCGCTGGGTTAGACTCTGAGACTGCTTGCCCCGTCATCTTCACGTGGTCGTTTCTACTACACCGACTCAATGTATCCTACCAGACTAGAACTGACAAGCGGGACAACTTGATACAGCAAAGCGCCCGCGAAAAATTCGAAACTCGGAGCGTGATGCGCACACCTACTCGGCGAAACTCTGCTGGAAGCATCTACTCCATTGAATCTTCGAAATTCGATGGCTTTCTTGAGAATTCGTCTAGTCAGAGGGATATGCAGGTTGTTGAGCAGCTTGCTGCTGTCGCTACGGCCCAAGGCAGAGTCTTTGATATAATGTCAAAGATGACTCAAACTTTGGGTCCGTCCATCGACGGCAGCTTGTCACCCCTGATTAGCTCGCGCCTTCGTGTCATATTTCTAGAGCTATTGAAAGTTTCGTATCCATTTGTTGGATATCAGTCGGACTCCGTGAGCTGTCTGCACTCCCTTCTTTCTCCTGGCCGAGGTTACTGGGAGCTATCCGCGTCGGAGAATATGCCCATCGCCCAGGACATCCTTGGATCTATGCTGCGAGATGATCTAGCCATGGACTTCTTTTTCCAGCAGGCACTTGATCGGTACCCTTACGAATTCCTTCCTTTTATCACGCTCTGTCGCACGCTCTGTACTGCCTCACAATCGATTCAAGATGATAGGACGGACATAATTCTCGAACTGCTACGCAAGACTCCGAGCATCACATTCACATTACCAGATACATTCCAGGGATATGAGCTGGTCCAAGAAGATGAAAACACAAACTCTTTCTGCCTTTTAGAGGAGGTTCCTCTGATCTCTCTATCATCCTCTTGGAGTCGGAGGTACATTGAGGATGACGCATACAGAATACCAGCGGGCACCTACGGGCGATTTATCACAGATACCGGCCGCGTTGTCTTGATGGACTACCCTCATTCAACCTTGTCGTTGCTGGGACGGCGACTGGAGATTAGCCTTTCCCAAGAAGGCTATCGTTGCGAACTGGGAATGTTGCAACCGGAAGAGACAGCTGAAGTCATTTCGTTGTTAGCGTCACTACTTCGAATGGAGCAGCTGAAGCTGGCAAAGCAAGGGGATAGCCGCGCATTGGTTCATTACGATGACGACCTGCTCTCCGAGACCAGCACACACATCAGTGCTGGGAAAGATATTGTCACTATTGTGTGCGAAACGATGGATTATTACATGCAGGATGAGTTGGCCATGACTGAAGATACGGCTGTGGGCGTCCTTACCGCATGTGTTAAGTTTCTGCATGCTGTTCTACAGGTGCAGCCCAGCAGAGTGTGGTCGTACCTCGCAAGGACAGAGTTATTAAACTCTGAATCAAGAGCTGGCAAACTCACCAAGATTACGGGCAGTCTTGACCTGGTCTCGGAGAGATTCGAATTCCTCTCATCCTCACTGTCACTGTTTTCCGCACTTATCGACACTGTCATGTCTTCCGCCGTCCAGCGTCGGGCTCAAAACAAACCCCTGGGCCGACAGCAGTCAGAGTCGAATCCGTGGATTGGGACTGCCGACAAGGTGCTCTCCAAAGTTAGCTTCTCGATTGCACAGACGTCCGTTGATGTGTTTGAAAATACGTCGACGTGGATGTTTGACTCGGAAACTAGTAGAACATCGCTGCTGCAGACAGTCGTGCCTATTCTCAACAAGATTGTCATTTACACCTATGGCATGGGGGATTCTCCTAGGTCTGACAATCTCACATCCTGTCTTCGACCTGCCGCTTCCCACATCATTGATTGCTTCTTATCGCCATCGAGCGGAAGCCTCCGATTCCAACCTCTTCTCTCCTCATTTATATCTACCCTCACAAGACCAGATTCAACCCTATATCCCCTGCGATCCCAAGCCGTTCGAAGCGAAGTCACGTCAGTGCTCGACTTTTCTACCACTCTTCTTCGGGTTGCAAACTACCTTGAACGTTCTTCGACGTTAGTTGAGACGTATCTATTCAAGACTTCGACGTTATCAGCCCGGCTCTGCGCAGTATCAGATCACTTCCGTGGGCCAGCGTTGTCGCTGCTGGAGGCGCTCGTCATCAACGCTGCTCAGTCCACCGGTGAACCACCCTCCCTTCTAGGATATCTCGGTCCCCAGATTTCAAAATCTTTCCTCCATATTTTGGCAGCCATTGGTCAGCCTTATGCGTTGACCAATGAAGTAAAGATAACTTGGAGATTCTTTTCGTCTATACTGAAAAACCGACAACAGTGGATGTCTAACTGCCTTCTCACAGGGCAAACGCCACGAGAGGCAATGAAGAAGGATGCCAAGAAGAATGAAACGTCTGAGGATTCTGTATTTGCAACGGCATTATCTAAACTTAAAATTTTGAAAGATTTAGAGACAGGAGAAGCTCTCGTCGTCTTGGATTTCGTTACATCCGCGCAGAATTACTGGCCTTGGACAGTGTTTACTCTTCAGAAAGACACAGCCTATATGGATGGGCTTCGAGCCTATGTGCGTGATTTAAAGCCCTCTCACCAAACTGTCAAATCAGACGCAGTGCTGGCCAGCACTCAGGCGAGAATTGCTGCGTACATTGCGGAAACGTTTGCAATGCAGCTCTACCATTCGCGTCATCTTGGTAACGCAGACACATTCGCCAAAGGACTGACCAATGACCTGGACTACTACCTTCGTGATGGTGTTGAGGTGGCTAGCTACAACAAGTCTCTCCACAACAACTTTGCAAAGAACTTTTCCAATAAGTATTTCGGAACCTCTTTGGACAACTTTAAGCGTACCTTGGTGAGTCCAAGGGAACTGGGCGAAAATTATTATTACGACCTGGATCGTGCCGATGAGGTTCTGCGATTTGATCCCGGATGGCAAGGAAGGAGGGGCTCTGGATTCCTGAACGAGATGAAACTGGCAAACGCCAATCTGTCTTTGGTCGATGCCCAAATCGTAAGTGTTACCTCTCAATTATATGCGCGTAAGATTTGTTGCTAACCTCTAACTTCTTCAAGGCGCTCTTCCACGCATGGGAGCTTTTGTTGCTTGAATTGAGCACATGCTTCCCCGAGAGCGATGCTACCCATAAGCACATGATGCAAGTTGCTCAGCAGTGCCTGAATGCCAACCAACTGGTCCCTGGCCCTGAAAGCATCTTCCTCAAAATTGTCGACAGAAGAGCTAATCTGGCTCTCATTCTAATTCAGCGCTTGGCTCAGTCCACTCTCGCAATCAAGGATGTTAACCAGCTTCTGGAGACTTTGATTGGCACGATTAATAGTGTTGATGAGCCGTTTGAATCTGAGTCTCTTGTTTATTACCGCACACTTCTGAAGGCACTGTTTGTCACGCTGCGGGCATATCAAACGACATCCAGCAAGATGGCGGCGAGCTCACAAGCAGATCTTGAGGGATCTATGGTGACTGTTACCCAAACCATTCTCAACATACTAGACACTGTGGTTGCAAGTGGATTCCGGTCATTGGTTAGCTTGATTCATGATAAGGAGACAGATGTCTTCCCAGAGGATCTTGCTCTCCTTACTGCAATCATGCAGGCTTGTCTCAGTGTTCCTAATATTGAACAATCTCAGACTCAAATATTGAACATCATGGCATCACATGACGCTACGCATGCAGCAACATCGCTGTACTCATGGGCTGATAAGTTGGGCGAACATGGCGATCCCGTCTATGGCGAGCTCAGCATCTTGTTCTTACTGGAGCTCTCAACTCTTCCGTTGCTGGCGGAGCAGCTTGCTTGCGACGGAGTTCTCGGCTCTATCCTCTCAGCTAACCTCACCAAATTCATGCTGAGGACAAACGTCTCGCCATATGCAGATGCGTCAATTGCACAACGGTGCTACGGAATATGGGTTAAAGGGATGCTTCCACTCATGTTGAATTTGCTCACTGCTCTTGGAGCAACAGTTGCCCCGGAAATTACGTATGTTCTGAACCAGTTCCCGCATCTACTACAAGCTAGCGTGGAGCGATTTGAAGCGCCTGGGGCCAGTCGAACCAAAGAGAAGTCTACCCAATACTTGACGCTTCTTGGCACCTCGGAGATTCACTCTTTGGCACTGCTCACGCGCGTGCTTGCGGCTCTTCGGATGAACAATAGCAGAGATATCCCCCCAGTCGAATGGGATGCGACGGGCCTTCTTGAGAATGTAGACTATTGGCTCTCCAGCAGACGTCTTTTGAAGGAGCGGCTCCTGCCTCTGGGGCAACGAGAGATGGAATGGAGAGGAAGGAAATTGGCAGGGGATTGTGACAACTTGCTGGAGGAGAAGGTGGTGGCACAGCTTGAGACGGTTCGAGACGTGCTCGGCGAGGAATTTGAAGGTTGAAATGAATAAAGGTCGGATTTTGCGGTTCGAGTTAACGCAACTAGAGAAACATGGGGATGGTAATGAATTTCAGGAATAGGCGTTGGACGTTGGGCTACTACTGCATCAGATGTATCATACAAGTCCTCCCGTGGATAACAGGGTTGTGTTTCGGTTATTGACTGGAGCATCTAAACTTAATTCCCATTGAGCAAGATTTTTATATACCGCGTGGTGTATATCGGTTGATGGTTTCCAACGAGACATGACCAGAACATCTCTGCCCCCACTCCCAACCACTCCTTCATATCCCGTAATAATGATACAGTAGACTCCATCTCCATGAGCCAAAAAAAATGTGTATCCCAGTAATTGCATCCCAGCTGGGTTTCCTTTCTTTCTTTCTTTCTTGTTTTTGTTTTCCTTTCCCACCATAACGCTTTGTATCATACAAGCTCTCGAAAATTGGGGAACTTCACCCTCAACAAAGACTCAGACGCCTAGAGGGAGAATGAAAGCCCCCTCCGTCGATCCCGTCATCGATAGCAAAGATTTTTGTGTCGTGGAACAAGTCGTTTTACGTTTTCAATTGTGTTTGTTGTATGTCTTTATTTCTGCATCTGCTGCGTAATCTGTGCGTTGTGCTCCTGGAAGCGCTCGCTGACGCGCTGCTGGGTGGCCATCCACTTGAGGACGCAACGGTTGAGGCAGCCGGTTTCCTTGGAGGAGAGGGACTTGGAGGTGAAGTCGTCGACGCAGGAGGTGAAGCAGTGCTCGACGAGGCCGCCGAAAGCCTATAGCGAGGGTGTTTATGTTAATTGAGGACTCTTATATATATATATATATATGCTTTCAGGTCGCATATTGTGCGTCGGAGGTGGGAATGGATAGAGGGAGGGAGACGTACGCCGACGAATTCCTTGACTTGACGCTTTTGCATGCGCTGCTCGAGAGTGCGCTGCTCGGCGGACGTTAACCTGGGAATTGGGCGATGAGCGTTAGTTGAAAATGCACATGTTAATGGATTGTAGGGAGTGTGAAGGGGGGAAGCTGTACATATCCATGTTGGCGGTGGTTTTGGGGTGGTTGGTGAGAGGGATGTTGAGGAGGAGGTTGTTTGGCTGGGAGGAGCTCTTTGGACTGATGACGATGAAATTTTGAAAGTATTCCGCATCCAAGATGTTCCACCCCCACATTTGGATCGGGGTGTGCGAAGGCTATTATTCGCACGGACTGGTGGTGTGGCTGGTTCGGTGGTTGGTTGGAGGTTATACAGTGTGAGGTATTTCATCTCTGGTCCGCTGGTTGTACCTGCTTGTCCGTTCAAGATCGACAGCATTGAAGATAATTTGGTCATTGTTTGATACTTCTGCTGTTACCGGCATTCGTAGACTTATATTCATACAGATCATGAGATTTTAATACGCAAATTACTTTCGTATCGCCATGCAGTATCTTCCTATGCTCATAATGGCTGGGGATTGCCAATAGAGGAAAGTATACTATACACACCCTATTAAGGCGTTGCATGCATGTCGCCGCTCTTCAAAGAATTTGTTAACCAGGGCCCAAGTCAGCTGTACAGCACCATGCTCACAAATCGATCTATCAGATACTTCTACCTAAAGATAGCGGTAGTAGAAGAAAATAGTGAGAGTAGCTGATATCAGAAAAAGGCAGCGACACCAGGTAAGTACAAGGGAGTCGCTCCTTTATATGCAACCAATGATGGCACAGCCCCTCACATGGGAACAACCTCACTCTCTCAGCCGCACGCCAAGGGACTGCTTGAAGCAATGGAAGACAAGCGCATCATAAATCGGCTGCAAATGCAGTATCGCTATTATCCGCTGCTATCCTCTTCCATCTTCTAGTATCGCTATTGTCTGCTTCTATCGCTACTTTCTTCTATGCAAGCACAATGTCAAATGGTACTGGTTCAACTCAACCGATACGGCGGAGCGATTTCAAAATAGCAATCATCTGCGCCCTGCAAGTCGAATACGATGCAGTCTGCCTACTTGTTAACGAGTTCTAGGATGAGGACTTTGGCCGAGCAGAGGGTGACCAGAACTTTTACACGGCGGGCTGTATCGGCAACCACAATGTTTTCATCATCCTTCTCGAGAGCATGGGGAAAATCAGCGCTGCCAAGGCTGTTGCAAATATGCGCGTGAGCTTCACTGCCATTCAGCTGCTTCTGCTTGTTGGAATATGCGGCGGGGTTCCGTCAGGCCCACGGGGAGAGATTCTGCTGGGCGATGTCATCGTTGGCGATGAGGTGAAGCTCTACGACTACGGCAAGCGATATCCAGATGGATTTCGACGCTCAGAAGACCCTGGATACAACATAAGCAACTTCAATAGGAGTGTTCGTGGCTTACTGGGTGCGATACAGACAGATAGGGGCATGCGGTCGTTTGAAGATCGAATAAGCCATCATCTGCAACACCTTCAGGAAGTGGCCAGCAGCCAGAAAATCATCAAGTACAGTTATCCAGGATCAGCAGAGGACAAGCCTTTTGCTTCTGAATATCGCCACAAACATCATCAACGTGCACCATGTATTTGCCGTCGTTGTCTTACCGACTCAGACCCCATATGTGAAGAAGCGATCAAGGCTTCATGTCTTGAGACGAATTGTAATACAAGCCACATCATTCAGAGGGAAAGGATAGCTGCAAAGCAGATGTTAAGACCGGAAAGGGTCAACGAGGCTCAGCGTCCGACTGTGCACTTTGGACGCCTTGCGTCAGCGGACATGGTCCTAAAATCTGCAAAAGACCGTGATGCGTTGAGCCAAGAGCTCCAGGTCATTGGATTTGAAATGGAGGCCGCTGGATTTTACAACGAGTTGCCATACGTGGTGATTAAGAGTGTTTGCGACTACGCTGATTCCCACAAGTCCAAGGCATGGCAACCATTTGCAGCGGCAACGGCTGCATCTGCTTGCAAATCACTATTAGAACGCTATCACCGGACCGGTTCGATCCCACAAGAGGCCTTTATAGATCACGGAGCTAGCAAAGAAGATCGTGCACGTGCAGCCATTTGCGTTATCCCATTGCTCAAGAACGAGCGGTTCGTCGGCAGACAAGACGTCTTGGAGAAGCTTAAAGAAATGCTATTTCACAAGCAAAGCTTCAGCCGGGCTGCATTGGTGGGATTGGGTGGTATGGGCAAACCCCAAGTCGCCCTACAACTTGCATACTTGATGAAAGATGTGTTGCGAGATGAGGATGGTAGGGAATGTTCAGTTCTTTGGATTCCTGCTTTAAGTGTTGCGACGTTCGAACAAGCCTGTGCCGACATCGTGAGACGCATACCTCAATCAAGTAAAACGGGAAAAGATGATAAGCGAGCTGTCAAAGACTATTTTAGCACAAAAGAAGCAGGCAGATGGCTTCTCGTCTTAGACAACGCAGACGATCACGATCTCATATTCGGACACAGCTCAGCGCCGGGAGGTTTATTGCAGTACCTACCTCGAAGCGACTTGGGCTGTATTTTAGCCACCACTCGTGATCGTGGAGTTGCTGTTGATTTTGCTGAGACTAATGTTGTTATGTTGTCAGAAATGGGCATGGATGAAGCGGAAACCTTTTTCCGAAAGTCATTGATCGAAAATGGCTTTGTCGGTGTTGACGAAGATATCAAGTCATTGCTTGAATTCCTCGAAAGAATCCCACTGGCAGTTGCTCAAGCAGTGGCATATTTAAACGTCAACCAAGTCACAATCCGAGAGTTTCTTAGTCTCCTGCAGGGCGTTCCGTATGACCAAATCAGCATCTTGAGTCGGCACTTTCGAGACTCGACACGATATCAAGAATCCCAGAATGCGATTGCCTTGACATGGCTGGCGTCATTTGACAGAATCACTCAAACAGACCCAGTAGCAGCAAAACTACTGGCATTCATCTCATACATTGAACCTAAAGGTATACCGAGATCTCTGCTTCCTGAAGGAGGGTCTCGGGAGGAGTTTCTACACGCTATAGGTACTTTGCTCGGTTATGGGTTTCTAACTCTACAACGGCAAGACTTCTACGACATGCACCGACTTGTACATATAGCTGCTACTGTATGGGCAAGGGAAAGATTTACAGATACCATGAATCCGAATCTTGCTTTGGAGAATGTTGCCTCCGTCTTCCTGGGTCCCCAATATAACAACCGCGAGAAATGGATGGCATATATTCCGCACACACTGAAAATCTTACATGACAGATTCAGGTTTGATAATGAGAGTTCCCTAATTCTAGCTTGCCGCGTAGGGCAATGCATGCTGGTCGAAGGAATGACACAATTGGCTGTGTCGATGCTGGAGAACCTGGTGGCTTACACGGATATGCGAGGTGACAAGGACTCAATCTCGCAATCACCTCAACATGAGCTTGCGAGAGCCTATTATTACGATAGGCAGCATGAAAAGGCGGAATCCATACTGGAACGTGTGGTGGCTGTACGAGAGGAAGTCCTTGGGGAGGAGCACGAAGAAACAATAAGGTCACAGGATGTCCTTGCAAAGGTATATCGCGAACTTGGAAAATACAAGGAGGCAATATCAATACTAGAACGCGTGGTGGCTGTTCGCAAAAAGACCTTGGGTGAAGAGCATCAAGAAACAATAGGGTCTCAGCATGCTCTCGCAAAGGCTTATCGCCAAGATGGACGATTAAACGAAGCGAGATTGATGTTGGAGCACGTAGTGGCTCTTCGAGAAAGGGTCTTTGGAGAGGACCACCCATTTCTACTAGTATCACAGTTTGAGTTGGCAAAGGTTTATAAACAAGGGGACCAGATGGACAACACGAAGGCATTTTCGATACTGGAGCGCCTGGTGGTTAGAGGGATGAGAACGAATAGCATGGAGGATCCGTTTTTTCTGAGCTCGCTGCACGAGCTCGCAAGCTTGCATTATGCAAACGACGAGACGGACAAGGCGGTGCTGTTGCTGGAGTATGTCGTGGCGATGCACAGGAAGATATTGCCCGAGGATGATTATCGCCGTGTGCGGTCTGAGAAGAATCTTGTGCAGATGTACAGGTCTTTGGAAACGAGGGGGCAGCATCGTGATGGAGCAATGTAGCGAAAGTAGCAGATACTGGAAGGATACAGCAATAGTAGCAGATATTTGAGGATATAGGAATGCTAGCAAGTACTAGAACAGACACTTGCAAAAACAAATTTAAAGGTCAATATCCCCATTCATAGGGTACATGTATTCACAATCGCTTACACTGACACAGATGCACTGATACCTATCTGCTACCGTACAGGTAGCAATAGCTGGGATGCTGCCAGGCTCCTTTTTCAACATGCCTGGTTTACTGACCTCCATATCTACAATTGTCATTGTACGGGCTGACAATACGATGGAGCCACTTTGGCTGCTCGTAACTTGGGACTCACCGGACGCATGGCTGGCCAGCAAAGTTTCTGAACGAAGCAGCTGCAAGACCTTGTGCATCTCGGACCTGAATAGCTTCAAGTCTATGCCCAGCCGGTATTAGCACCTGAATATGATTTTTGCCCTGGCCTACCGTAAAAAAACACACACAAGGTCGATAAGAAAGTCCGTATTGCATTGCTACTCAAGTGTTGGACTGCAGTCATCGTGAGCCTCGAAAAGCCGAGCGTAGCGTGGCTATGCTCGGTGTTGGTTTGATCTTTGTAATGCGGGCAAAACAGACACAAGGGCTTACCTGTACAAGTATTTATTGGCTCTGACAGGACCGAGACGACTTCACGATGATGATATACGGAGTCACTGACGATGTCTCTATTCTCTATTCTCCATAGCCCTGTTCACAATTCACAACCTACTGGTTCGGGCCATGTTCGATACGACGCCAGTCAGCCTGGCCCCCTTGACCTGCCCAAGCCACAACGGCATCGTGAGGGCGCCTTGGCATAAGCCTGGCGGCGATTTGATGGAATTTGGAAGTCGATGATGCGCCTGTCGCGTCGGGAGTAAACAAATACGAGAGCAGTCCGTGAACGCCTGGGAAGCTAGTCGTTTGATAGTGCTAATTGACGCGTATATGCAGGAATAAAGTTAATTGAGTAAAAAAGATGCTCGTTAGGAGTTAGGCCAGCTGAGAAGAGAGAGAAGCTGGATGGAGAAGGGACGGATTGGATCAGCAATTGACTAGCACGGACAGGCTATGCTAAAAAAAGACACAAGATGGAGTAGTATTAATCAATCCATCCTGGGCCTTGGTGATGATGATGCCCTTGATTTGTACATGTATGTGCTCTCCATCTAGGCTGTTATACGAAGTACTCCTACCAGGACGAGTAAGACCAACATGAAAATGCACCAGCTTACAGTTAGTAAGTTCCATGTTGTTGGAGGCTCCCTCGCCCGTTCTGTGCTGTAGGACTTGCGCAAGGCTGCAGCAGCACAAACATCCATGTCATCATCCCCCTCGCTCGCTTGCTGCAAGCTGATGATAATGATCCAGCTGCCGACTAAAGTAGCTCTTTTCCTGGAACAGCCAAACAGCTCAAATTAAACCACAGACACCATCACGGGTCCCAGCTGAAAAGGATCAGGCGTGTCTCTAGCTGGCCCCCTCCAAGAGTCCAAGAGCTCTCCCTCACCCGTTTTTTGCAGGGATCGTGGCCTTGTTTGCGCAGCCTTTGGAGATCCAGGCGCCGATCATCCAAGAGCGAAACATGCTGGCCACCAACGTCATTCGCCATTATGCCAACCCCTCGTTCGGCCGTGCACCGCCTCATTCTTTTTCCCCTGGCATGTTTTGGAGTCTGTCAGTGGTGCATCGTATCAGGTTGTTAGAGTAGAGGCGGAGGGGCTGGCTGGTCGGAAAAAAGTTGAGTCGAGATGCTTGCTGCAAGTGCCCTGTAGCCTGTAGATTTGGGCACTGACTGTGCTGTGCGCAAGCACCTGCCACTGCAGCTTGTACATGTTTGTAGCTCCGCGTCCCGCCAGCCGTGCAGATGGCCTGCAGGTAGCGGTACCTGGTGCCTTCCCTCCCACCGGTCCCTTGGCGCCTGTGTTTCACCCAAGCCTGCTGTCGCCGCCAGTCATCAGCACGCTCAGCACGCAGACAGTGGCTCCAGCTAAGCCCGCGCCACACGAGTGCCTGCAGCCCCATGTACCGGTACCGAGCGACGTTCCCCCTCTCCAGCCCATCTCCACGAACCATTGGCCCTGGAGCTGCAAGAATACGACTGCGCTACCAGGAGGTACGCCGGCCTTGTAGCGCTGTGCTGTGCCACCCGCCACCAAAAACCTCAGACAGCGACAAAGTGCAACACCACAGCCAAACGCCGTGTCACCTCCTTCATCCCCGTATCTTGATCCTCACCTCTTCTTCCTCCTCTCTCTCCGGCTTCTCGCTCCTCTGCTCGCTCCTCTGCCCGGAATCGCCTCCCTCATGTCTCTATCCCGTCGGGGCACCTGGCCGCTAGTTCACCCTCACCCTTGGATCGCCCGCTCTCCAGCCCGCCTCCCTGCTCGGCGAAGCGAATAGCTGCAAAGGCTAGACGGCCGAGACAAGTCTTGGAGACGCTGTTCTTTTTGCATCCTCTCATCCTCTCATCCTCCCGCCCCGATTGCGCTGCCCGCCCCGAGATCGTCGACTCTCGTTTCCTTCGCGGGCCTCGATCCGACCACCTGCTGCGCTGCCTGGGTTGCTTTGGCCTTTGCCTTGCACTCTCGCTTTTGCCGCCCCTCGCTCGCTCTCCTTCGGGAGCCGCATCGCTCGTTGCGCCCCCCCTCCCGCCAGGGCAATCCGGGGCCTCATCGAGACGCTCTGCCCATTGAATCTTGACTCTGGCCGCGCTGCCTCTTTCTAGTCCGCCGGTCCTCCGTGCGCCCGCCGCCTGCCATGACGTCTAGCAATCCGAATGCGCACCAGGGCAGCCCGCCTCCGCAGCCTGCGCTGCCCAACACGCCCGCGTCGCCGCCGAACAAACGCGATCTCAAGTCGTGGTGGAAGAACTTCAAGCTGCCCACCAAGCACCAGGAATCGTCTCCGCAGGGTACGCTCTCAACCTCCAGTACCTCCCCTCCCGCCGGTCCCTGTGCATTCATCCGCAGACACCTTGCCTCGCTTAGGACGCTCTGGTCGCTATTCAGGTCTTCTGGTATCGATTTCAATTTGCTCGGTTCCTTTGTGTGCTGCATAGGCCTGCTGATGCCAGGGACTTTGGTCGCAATACAAATTCTCGTTGGATAGCCTCGTCTATAGAGGCAGCGTGTCAAGCGATGCAGATCCTTCGCCCATGTTTGCTTTCTTCCTCCGTCTTTTCAACCCCCACTGTCCCTTGGCTACCTCTCCCCCCAAAACTAGGGGAAGAAAAGAATGGGAGAAAAAAAATCATATCTGTGTTTCTTTTTGGACGTATTGGCATGTGCAACTAATGCCATGGATTTTAGACAACCGCGGCCCGGGCATTTTTGGAGTCCCTCTCCGACAGAGTATAACATACGCAAACGTTGCCATCTCTCTTGTTGACGAGAATGGCAAAAGCTACATCTACGGCTATGTCCCCATTGTCGTCGCCAAGTGTGGTGTCTTTTTGAAAGAAAAAGGTACGTCGGATGGAAGAGCAGAAACGAATTCTATTCTAGCTATTGACACTCCGAACCAGCTACCGGCGTTGAAGGCATCTTTCGATTGAATGGGTCCGAGAAACGAATCAAGGAGCTCAAGACGATATTCGATTCGCCTGATCGATATGGCAAGGGACTCGTCTGGGACGGGTACACCGTCCACGATGCCGCCACGGTACTCCGAAGATATCTCAACGACTTGCCCGAGCCTGTAGTGCCTCTAGACCTCTACGAGAAATTCCGCGACCCCCTTCGAGGGGCTACAAAGCAGGCAGTCGGCGATACAGATGGTCCCCAATTCGTTGAAAACTTTGACGAGAGGGGAGCCATCATCAAATACCAAAAGGTAATTACTGAATTGCCCCCGCTTAACAAACAGCTGCTTCTTTACATCCTGGATCTGCTGGCCGTCTTTGCTGCCAAATCTGATGAGAACCGCATGAACTCTCAGAATCTGGCGGCCATTTTCCAGCCCGGCATGCTGTCTCACCCCTCTCATGCAATGGCCCCGGAGGAGTACCGCCTGAACCAATGCGTCATCATCTTCCTCATTGAGAACCAAGACCATTTCCTTATTGGTATGCAAGGCACTGAGGCAGATGAGACGACGATGCAGCAGGTGGCCTCCGGGCCTTCCAACGGACCCCGTACGCCAAACCCGGATCGGAGCTCGGGCCTGGGGAGAACGGCGTCCAACGCCAGTGCGGGCGCTGAGAACGTTCGAAAGGATGGCATGATTCGACGGAACCGGTCTGTCTCCTCCAGACATTCAAGGGTCGACGGCGCAGCCACTCCCAACAGCCCGGCCCTAGCAGCAACACCCACTGGCGGTGGTTTAGCTAGGAGCAACACCGTGCCATCCAAGAAATCTCCAGCTTTGGTAGGGGGGAAATTCAAGAAGACTGAGAGCCCTGCTCGCGCGCCACACTCCCCGGCATTAGAACCCTTGACACCAGCTCACCCACCCGCGGAGACCAAGCTGGAGGTACCCGCACGAGTTTCCACGCCGAACGAAATACATAGGACCTTTGATGAAATGCATCTTTCCCCGGATCGTTTGCTATCACCTGGTCGGAGTCAAGAGAGGTTGCTAGACTCGCACGAACCCTCCACGCCATCGAAGCATCACCATCAGAATTTACAGAAGCTGGAACAACTGTTCCACAACGATAAACGGCAGCCGAACAAGCTCAAGAAGAAGCGGATACCAGGTAGCATGAGCATCAGTGCACAGAGCTCGGTTACGTCGCTCCCGCATTCTGCCTCGCCAGGTACAGAATCTGGGAACCCCTTGGAAGCGGCACCGGCTTTTGCACAGCCCGTAGCACAGCCTCAGTTCCGCCCGACTGCCATTCCTCACTCAGTGCCCCAGCCGTCGCCTTTTGCTTCGGCGCCCTCTGTGGAGACTCAAAAGCAACCGGATTTACATCACCAGCACTCGACCCCTGTGATTCACCAGAATCATGCTGATCACCACCACAATCACTCTGTTTCTCATTATCAGGAGCAACTGCGACCTGAGGATATCTCACGGGATATCTCACGGGCGAAGAAGTCCCCCCCTGCTTCGGTTAATTCATCTTTCAATGACGGCTCGGACTTTGAACAAGTAGCTCACGAGACCCCATTGCCCGCAATCGTCGAGACGGCGGATAAAGAAAAGAAGAGCCGATGGAGATTGTCGAGGCCCACCAAGAAAGATGACTCTGCGAGTGGACCGACCAGTCCCAGAGCATCGCCACCGCAGTTTAACATAGGCTCAAACAATAACGCAGATATTAGCACCACCTCGATTGGAAGCGCCATTGCTATGCCCCGGAAAAGCTTTACTGGTGAAAGTTCAGAGCATCTACCCAGTGGCAGTGATCGCGCGTACACGTACGAAAGCTCCCGGGACGATGATAAGGACGCAAAAGGCCCGATTGGTTGGATAAAGCACAAGTATCGAGAGGCCAAAGAAAACGTCGACCAGAAGCGGACCAAGTCTCCGCCTCCTCCAGAGCACCATCAAGGATTTGGCCCAAGTCTGACGGCGTCACGCGGCAAGAGCTTAGATATAAACCGAGACTTATCTCGAGAGGAAGTAAACTCTATTGGAAAGCCAGCTCAACAAGACGCTTTTAAAGATTTGCAGAAAGACAGGATAAATGCCCCGCCGGAGGCCTACAGAAAGCTTGGTCAGACAGAGGCAGTTCAGAGAGAGCCCGCTCAGGGCATGACGATCCACAGGGTTATTAGCGATACAGAGAAGGCACCGGCAGAACCTATTGCTCAGAAGGGCGTAACACTCGTTGACGCCCCCATGGAAGAGGCTCCCGAGACGATCGCCCAGCCCAAGACGCAGGTTCCAACAAATCCTCCCTCTGAGACGGTGCCACCTGTGGAACAGTCATCGACATCTGCTGTAGATAAAGAGCAGGAGGGAAAACAAGCATAGTGACTTTGGTTGAAACGCTTTTTTTCCATGAGACGAGATGTATCTAGGATTACGCGGAGTTGGCGGGATGCTTTTTTTTTTCTCTTCTCTTCCTCTACCACTCCCCAATTTTTTGTTCCAAACTTTTTTTCTCCTTTTTTTTAGAATTTAACGAATTTCCTTTGTCGTCATGTATTCGATGGATTGTTTTTCCCTGCGATGGAAGAGGAGAGGAGTGGAAAAGGAACTTTTGACGTCGTAAAACATTGGTTGTATGTATGTGAGGAAGCATGTTGGAATTGGGAAACCACTTAGGTACGAAACTATTTAGTTTATGAGAGACATGTGTCGGAGTTGTGCCGTTGTGCAAATGTAAAAATGAGATGAGAGAAAACAAAATACAAGTGATAGATTCTAATCAAGTTGACTTTTGTGCTAAAGGTGAATTATTGTGAGAATTTGTCAAATTACTATATAATATTCAGTTTAGAAAGAGGTAAATTACCATGCATATCTAAATATGTTGCTCGCTATGATTCTCCTTCTCATGATGCTAGTAGTACATTTCAAAAAAGAAACTATATAAAACCGAAACCCGGGAAATCGCAAATGAAGCCAGAAATCAAGCTTTTATGCCAGATTCTCCGTAAACCCCCGTGTCCCAAACCATCATATACCCAGCCCTTCGCCCATCCTCGTTGAAAAACCCGTTGAAACCAGCCCAAACGGGTGTAAGTTGCGATATACCCAGCCCCTTACCCTCAGGAGTATCCAGGAACTCGCGTAACCAGGGCTCCACGCCCTCGAAGCCGACAATGTACCGCGGGACGGGGACAACGGGATTCTCCAGGGCAAAGAGTTCGTGGCGGAGGAACGGGACGGGGTTGTCGTAGAAGCGGTCGGCTTCGTCGCGGTAGAGATCGCGCTCGGGGGTGTTTGGCTGGGTGTGCAGCGGGGGCTCGCAGGTGAGTGCGTAGGCGGAGAGGCCTGGGTAGACGAGGTGGGAGCGCCAGGGGGTGGAGTGGCAGGGCATGAGGAAGAGCGCGAAGAGGTCTTCCTGAGTGCCGTTTGGGGGAGAAGCGTAATGAGTTGCGTGGGCGGCATGAACGGCGGAAGGATGGATGCGTTCGTATTGTTTCCTGAGGAATGATAGGACGGTGAGAGGGGCCGGTTGATGTAGGAATGATAGGTAGCCGGCGAGGATGACGTTGACGCCCAGAGCAGTGAGGAGGAGAGGTTTGTTGCGGAGGCGAGCGCGGCGGACGGTGGGTGATTTGGTTCCGGAGGGTTGAGGCGCGGATATCTGGGCTGCGGAGGAGATGGAGGGAGGAGGGCTTGTCTTGGGAACGGTGGTGAAGAAGGCTGCGGCTCGTGGGGCGGCGAGGACGCTGAGAGCCGGGAGTAGGGGGTAGATGAAGCGGACTTCCTTGTGTGAGATGAGAGAGAGCGCGGCGACGGTGCTGAAGACGGTACAGGAGAGTGTTCTGAGGATATTGGCCTGATCAGTGGTTTTGGATGAGGGCTTGATAAGCGCCGGGAGGACAAAGGGCAAGCTGGTGGTGCAGAGCAGAGGAATGCCCTGGAGGAGATAATAGTGCCAGGGGTTGCGACCGTAGAAGACAGCAAGCGACTTTGAAATGTTAAAGTTGAGCCAATTGTAAGGCGGAAAAGTCCAGAAGCCAAAGTAAAGACGATCAGCCGCAATGGAAAGGCCGACGACCAAGGAGCCGCACAGAATGGCCTCTCTAAAGAGAACCAGGACGGAAGAGAAACTCAAGGGCGAGTTGCCCTGCAGCGTGATCCTCGTCAGAGCGATGAAGACGATAGTGAGCCAGATGAGGACGTTGGTAGGACGCAGGACGACGGCAAAGGCGGCGAGGCAGAGCGAGGCGCGGAGGCGCCAGAGCTTGCCGCGCAGGACGTTGAAGGGATTCGAGTTCTCCTTGATGGAATAGGGGGCGACGCCGACGAGTTGCCAGGGCCAGTAGCTCAGGGCCATGACTGTGAGGGTTGTCTCTAGGGAGTTGGAAAATGTCCTGGTGGAACAGTACCATTGCCATGGATTGAGGAGTTGCATAAAGAGCTGTGTGAGATGTGAGTATGAGTGTGTGTGAGAGGCCCGGGGATGATTCAGGGGGTGAAAGTGAAACTTACAGCAAAGAAGGACACATTGCTGTCAGAGCCGTAGACGTTGGCGGCGAGATGCCAGGTGTACCAGTCACCCAGAGCGGCAATGAAGGCCTGAAGGATACGAGGGGCGGCAATGACAATGGCAGAGCGGATGGCGTTTCCTGGGGGGAAGATGGCGGAGAGGCGATCTGCGGCCATGTAGGCACCTGAGAAGAGGAGAGGATGAAGTGAGGATCTCAGTTGATAATGCCATTCCTGTAAGGTTGGAGAGAGTTGTTAGTTAGAATAAACTAAAAATATGAAGCTTCCAATTGATCTGAAGCTAATATTGATAATGTATGAGCATCTATGGATGGATATAAAAGACAACATACCCATGTCATCCACGCGCCGCTGTTGGCCCCAAAGGCGAGGCGCCAAGCCGGCTCCAGAGCCTGGAAGAACTCGTCGGGCTGGAAGAAGGTGGCCAGATACCAGGCATTGACGAGGCGGATGATGAAGATATCCCGTAGGGGAACGGGGGAGAGGCGCGGCTTGGCCTTGAACGAGGTCGACGGAGCGCGTCTGTGGCCGGCCATGATATCGGGTGAGCTCACCGAGGATTTGGCCAGTGTGTGTTAGTGGTTGATTTGGAGGTTCCACTGGGGGAGAAAAGGGTGGTGGACGGGCGGGTTTACAGGGTTTACAGGGGGCGCTAGAGGGCGATTGGTGGCCTAAGCTGCCTGTGTGGTTTGGGTCTAGGGGAGCAGCTATTGATTCATGGCATGGATTGATGAATCAATCGATCAAATCAATCAATCAATGGGTGCAGTGGAATTTACAATTGACGGCATCTATGGCTTCTTTTGCTTGTATTTTCATCTTTTCATGTAACAATACCTTGCAGTCAATACAATTACCTTGGGGATGGTCTTTAGTGATAGGTACCTACAGCACTACTGTGTGTCCATCTATCATGGGCACCTTGATAGCATTCAGACATTGAGACTTCATGATAGAGCACCGTCGAACATCACACTACATTACAGCACATGAATTATCCGCCATGGATTTATCTACTACCCATTTCCATCAACATCGCTGAACCTTTAAATGCATACTTCACGTTATCTGTTACCGACAGATCAGCAACAGTCCTCCCTTTCCCCCCTGCAGCAAGCATTACATCATCTCACCTGAGCTTGTGATTGTGTCAATCCACGATTCAATCAATCACACACTTCGAGTTTGCTTGCCAATGCACGGTACGTAATACTGCCACGGCCATTGGCTGGACACCGCTCTTGACACGCCTTTGCCCCCACTTTAATTGCAGCAACCTGAAATCATGGCCAAACTGTGGGGGTTTTACTACTCGTACATTTGCTCGTCTATTCGACGGATTGCCCAAGACATCAAGAGAATAACCAACAAATCACTGCTGATTGCTCTTCACAGAGGTAAGCATACCAAAAGCATGAGCTATCCAGGTAGCTTCCGTCTGTCCGTCTGCTGTATGCTTATTTGGTTCCAGCTTCAATCCAATCCCTGCAACCTGTTCATTCTCCGGATCCTCGGCCAGCCAACCCAACCCACACACTAATAGCCCATCTCGATGCCCCTCCATCCGCTGGGTTAACTTGCTGATTAGGGGTCCAAAACTACGGAATGCCGAAGCCAGCCGGCCGCTCTCGTCTCGTGGGCCATCCGAATCCTGCGAGCCTCGTCCTCCGGTTCGGCGCCACGGCGTTGGTTTGGCGCAACATGTTCCGCATCTCCACCCGCTTCTACTCCCACTTGCACTTAGGGGTATAGCGGCGGCGTATCTCGTCTCCAATGCCTGGATCTGGGTCGAGTAGTTGACACATTGATTCCACGCTTCTTTTTGAAACTGGGCTGCTTGTGCCTAGAATTGCCTTGCCCGGTCAGGTGGTCTCCGACGCCTGTAGGTGGGTTTCGCCAAACACAAAACTTTATATACCCACTATGTATCTTTGACCGGCTTCGACTCACAGCTACTTTTTTTCTCTTTTCTTTTCTTTCCATAGCAATCGCGTGAATTTCATCATCATCATCCCTCCCTTGGCCGGTATGTCCATTGCACAGCAGCTCCGAATCACGGCTTCCTTTTCCCAGCCTTATCTCTGCCCCTCCCCCCTCCTGCATCGGCTTATCGTCGATACCCTTTTCTTCCGACATCTGACACCACCTTCGTATCTGTTCCATCTTGCTGTTGGTTCGTCATTGACTAACGCCCCAAACCTAGACCTAGACATATTCTCTCCAAATACAACATCAGCAATCTATTCACCATGGCGTCCGCTTCCCGCTTCCACGCGGCATCCACCGATGCTGCCATCGCCGCCGAGAACGAGTTCGCTGCCCACAACTACCACCCTCTGCCTGTAGTCTTCTCCAAGGCCCAGGGCGTCAACGTCTGGGACCCCGAAGGCAAGCAGTACCTGGACTTCTTGTCCGCCTACAGCGCCGTCAACCAGGGCCACTGCCACCCCGAGCTCGTCAAGGCTCTCGTCGACCAGGCCTCCCGCCTGACGCTGAGCTCGCGAGCCTTCTACAACGATGTGTTCCCCAAGTGGGCCGAGAAGGTCCGCAACGTCTTCGGCTACGACATGGTGCTTCCCATGAACACTGGCGCTGAGGCCACCGAGACGGCCATCAAGATTGCCCGCAAGTGGGCTTACAAGGTCAAGGGCGTTGAGCAGGGCAAGGCGCTGGTCTTTTGCGTTGCCGAGAACTTCCACGGCCGAACTGTAAGTGTGCCAGCCTATTTTGGGCAAGATGGACTGATTCTCCTACATCAGTACTTGAAATGCAGCTCAAAAGATGGTAACTAACATTCTCTCCAGATGACCGCCATTACTCTGTCTACCGACCCCGAATCCAAGGACAAC